GTCTTAGGCTGCGATAAGCAATTTTCTTTTGTTACTTGGATAGGTATTTTTTTATTAAACAAAACACCGGGTTACATATTTATGATTATAAAGCGGTTATCTGCACATCACCGAAACTAGGAGATGCAAAATAAAACTAATAAATTGTTCAAAATACTTTATTCTCAACAACTTTACGTATAAAACATTCTCACTGAGTCTATATTACTTACATTGTATGATTTTAAATGTAACCTAATTTAAACAAAAAATTGGACTTTCAAATGTACAAGTACTAAATCTAAATACATATCTATTTACACTTTAATTCGTTCTTTATCAATTCCTAAACTTATCCCAGTCATTTAAGACGTAAAAATGATTAAATAGATAAAAATATTAGCAAATTGACATTTCAATATTTTTTAATTCTTTTCCATGACTCATATTTATCTGTGAGAAAATGTGCATGCCAAAAACAAAAACATTCAGCAGTATAAGTCAAATACATAGGTAATTTATAGCCAATCCAAAAAAAGCGATTCCTCTTAACCGAGAGTAGCTTCTGTTTTTGAGTTTGGCTTTGGTAACCTTCAAGTACATTTAAGCTGTCTTAGTTAAAAATATAATACATATTTTTACAGTTAAGTAATAAAGCTAATAGCAGACTTGTAAATAAGACTAAAATAAAAAATATAATTCATAGTCTGTGTGGAAATGGGACCGGCGTGGTAGTTATGGTACTACAATTGTTATTCACAAATATACCTTTAGTTTTCATATATTAATTATCCAGATGATTACTAACGTACTATAATGACGTAACGGCGTTTTAACCTAACAAATAAGGTAATTTAGCACTGCAGCGACTTCAATTCCCACGACGGTTCTCTTTCCGTTCAGACTATATTATATTATATATCATAAAACTAAAATGTTGCCAGTTTCAGATATTCAAATTATTTTTACGCAATAATATATTTACACAAATAGAGTATTTAGGGTTTCCAAAACCCGTTTATTATGTATTGAGTAAATATGTTTTTACTATACTACAAAAGCTCGATAGTGGCTACGCCAATATTTGCGTACAGGGGGCTTAGTCAAGATGCCTTAACCGTAGTGTATGTAGAAAGCCGAAAACTTAATTTGTATGAAAACATACACTACTGTTATGGCATCTTGTCTAAGCCCCCAAGTGGCGTTACTAATAAAATATATAGTGGTAACGATTAGTGTCAAGTCTGAATGTATTGCCATTACTAATATATTACTATAAAATGATTGTTCAACAAAACTTGTGCGCTTCTTTTTAAAATTATTTTTTTTATTTTTTAAGGAATAAATCATTTTAAAAGCATACAATGGTATAAAAATATGCGCAAACGTATTGTCTATTTTAACAAACGTCGGATTTCGTATTACAAACGTATTCACACATTTATCCTGAGAGCTGTCAATGTCAGACTGCATAGAAAAAATGATTTGACAGATTTTGAAACTAGATTCTTATGTCGTAGAAAGCAAAGATTTATTGCATGGTTAGTTGTAAATTTGTTTAGGTTATTGTGTGGCAAACTATATAAAAGTACAAAGATCTTTACGTATTGTCTCGCGGTTTTATATTAATTCTAAAGATGACGAGATATCACTTAAGAAACTACACGTGACTTAAAAGACAAAATAAATATGATCACAACGAAGTTATCGTAGTAGTGACTAGGTGTTATTTACCTAAAAACGGATCGACAGAAAACTATTCTGTTGATCAAAGAGCTTGAGCTCTAAGGATAAGATTTAGAGTTGTGATTTAGCGCTAAGTGTGACTCCCATATATCAAAATCCAATACTATTAGACACACTTAACGGTAACTAGATTTTGAACTTACCCTAAGTGATTAATAGACCATAGAAAAACTTAAGTGTTTTTGAACATTTTGTTCTATATTGTTTTGCAGAAAATCATACGATTAAGTTAAAAAAAAATGTATAAGGTTGCTCAAATTGACTACAGTGGAAAAGGGTCTAATTTTTATATTTTTGTTTCAAAAACTTGTTCAAATTCGGGTATCTTTAAAGATACGTTCATAAACCATATTGAGGCCGTTCAAGTAATACGTAAGCACTATAGGGGGGAGGGGGTCTTTGATTTTCTTATTTGGTGATTACGTCAACAGTAGGTAATTTATGTTTTTACACATATAGACAATGTGTGGGCATTGTCTATACTTAAATTATATATACTTGCATTTTCGAGGATGCCTACAAAAAATTAATACGTTTTAAATGTAATGTACGTTTAAGATCTTTGCTTACTATTGCTGACAAGAGGAAGGGTACCCCCCCCCTGCATTACAGTAAATCTGCTTACGTAATACTTGAACGGCCCCTACAAACACGTCTTTGCATGATTTTTAATTTCCTCAGCAAACTTGGATTCACGTATACAATATATAAGGGGGTAAAAGGATAACACTTATGCTATATATAAATATACACAATTATAACCTAATCTGGAGGCCCGTACACATGGGTAATGAAACTTACTTAAACGTGAGCGCACTTAGATAAAACTTTAAATATGGTAAATAAACGCCCGACGGCGTCATTAAAGCCGCTGGCATCGTTGTTGCGTTGAGGGAAATGTCAAATACATTTTTTTAAAGGCACATAAGCACGGCAATAATACTCCTATAGCTTTAATGATATCATAACACATTTTTGATTAAAAACGATTTGCAAAAGCTAATGAAAAATTAAATTAGGGTATTCTTTGGTTTTTTTATGAGTAAAAATATTAAGAATATGATGGTTTTTAAACAGCAAACATTTTGTAGTCCAAGTGCGCTCCTAAATTATAGCTGTTACAACGGAAACTAGTTTGACCAAATTCCCTTATTGAATATTAATGTATTAATACATTTATACATTTCTATAAAATTTGTTGAAAAACGGATCCTAAAGCTTAATAGTGATTCGTCTGACGCTATTGACTAATCACAGAACTACGCGAACCGTTGTTCGTTTTTAAAAACCGCATTCTAAACTCGACAGATAACGAACGTGTTAATATGAGCCATAAACAAAAGTATTTTACGGTACGCGTGAATCCATATCAATAGAATTCATATGGCACTGCGCCGGTACTCTGAAACTGCTAATAGAATGGACTTCATTGTTAAGTTTTTGTACCACATGATCCCAAAAAAGATTATTAACGTCCGGCTGGCTATTGTAATGGCTATTAGACATTACGGGTTATTGGCGCTGGTCACGTGACCAGTAAGAAAAACAGGATGGTGAAAATAAAACGAGAGACGAAATGACGTCACGTTTCGCGCTTTGTCAAAAGCGTCTCTTGTGTCTATCGACACGTTTAACCAATCACAATCAAGCAGTCGTTTTCGTAGTAGGCAGACGCATGATACTTTTGTCCAGGGCACCATATAAAAATGTGATTATATCTATTCAGTCAGATTAGGAACAGAAATTTGGCACAGACAAAATGGAAGCATAGAAAAGCTAGAATATAATTCATTTGCAAAACCATTTCAAACTTTAGCACTCTATATGTTTCAACAACTATTAGTTTTCATAAAACCTATAAAAGGTAAATTTGCATTGATGATTGCATTAGGATATATTTATTAATATATTATTATCACAAGTCATGAACTAAATATTCTGTATTGAAAGCTGGCAAGATTTCGTTGTAGGGATAAGTTGCGTATCCTATTTCACTACAACTACAACTGCGCATCTTACAACTTGCCAAATTATTTATAAACATCTTATCTTATTTTTCTTATCGAAAAGACGTTCCAAATTCAAGACCTTTTGTATGATTTTAAACTGTAAACGCAAGAATAATTCATAACTTGTGACTCAAATTAAAATTTGTAAATCTACTAATACACTTAAATGAAAAACATTATCAAATAAAAACCATCTCTATCTTACATTACCAGTACTGTCACCTACTAATTTTAAGTCACCAGTGACTATAGGAATATTTTAATAAGTAAACGCGTTTTTATTTAAAAAAATTGTATTTCATTTAGTGTTTTCGTATAAAAATATCATCGCAATTCTATCATGTACATGAAGCTAAAGTTATAATGGCATTGAAAATCCCTGGTATATAAATCTCAAGCTTAAAACTGGATGGATTCTGCAATTATGTACATATTATGATTTCAAACTTAGCCTCTATATAACTTGATATACTTCGAGGAGGAAAACTTTCAATTTAAATTTATATTGACTTTCGAAGACATACTCGAAAGCTTTCCTCCTCTAGTCAGTGGTTTTGATCAAAAACAATATTATTGTCTATGAAAAATGTTAACCAATCATAAGTGAAATTGTATTTTATAAATTTACAGCGCTTGAAGTAGTCCCAAAACTGTCAAATATGATCTGCCAGCCTTGAACCGAAACATGTTTCCCCTGAGATTCAAACCAGACTAGACATGATAATTCTCAAAAGGACAGCGTGCTTTAGGGACTCTTTAAAAATTACCTTAATTCACCTTTCACTTATGACTGTGACTGTGTACAAACTTTCTATAAAAATAAGAGGTAGTGTTAACGAAGCTACATAAAACTAAACTATTTACAATAAAATTAATTACACAGTCTAAAAAATGTACTACGATCAACTAAGTAGGTACATAGTGAGCAAAATAAAACAATATGTCTTTACGATTGCACAAATCGCGATTGATAAACGTCAAAACTGACAGCTTTACCGCGCAAACAAAATCTGGGGCATTATTCTCGTGAATGTCATATTCGTACATAATGTAGTCCATGACAATAATTACCTACAATTGTGGAAGTTTCAATGATTTTAGTAACACAAGAACCATGCCTCATTGTGTTCGACTTCGTGTCATCATCGAAAGTGTAACTGTCAATTTGACAGATCACTTTCGACATGCCAAAGTCAAAAATGACATCAAGACCAATATGGAGTTAGCTAAGATCTCAAAGACAAGGAAGGTAGCGGAAAGCAATCGTCAAGCGCTATCTTCCGATCTTTTGTCTCCTTTACGATTGTGTAATTTCTTTTTTATATCTAGCAACATTTGTTCGAAGGACATGTCGTCGCTCCTGCGCGGGGGTGGCGCGGACGCCTGGCCGTGAAATGCACTCTCTGTATATTTTGCCTCAAGCCCATCTGTTTGAGGAGAAATTCTAAATAAGTGATAGTTTTTATATTTTCCATTAGAAGATTGATTTTCCAGACATAATATTGGAAAGTATTATCTTAGAACTGCTATAGTACTGTAATAAGCGTCTCCCGTCTCCATTTTGTACGGTAAATAATCCCATAAATCAATTGTAGGGTGAGCGTGAAGCTACAATAAAATTAAAAATTATATCCCTAGTAGCTTCGGCCGATGTAATTTTTCCGAACATATTTACAATTTATAAAAACTTACCAAGATCTGCATAACTCTGCCTGCAGAATGCTCGTCTACCACCAAATCCAACATCATACTGAGGAAATGATGAGGCCGCCTCCACGGCTGTCCACGCGTCCCTTGGTCGCTGGTAGGTTACAAAACCGTAGCGAGACCTGGATTAAAAAATATTTAATCTTTGCCAACTACACGTCAAATAAAATTAATCAGTCACTTAAATTTTGATGCATTACAATTTTAAGAGACAAATTTAAAAGTGGCATTTCAATTGAATAGAATATTAATTAAAAATAATTTTGAATCAGTCATGCTGTAGACTAGTTTCTAAGGATAAAACTGAGTCTAGACTTAGCCCTAAGTATAGAATTTGTCATACTTAGCGCTAAATCTCGATTGTGAATCTTAAGAGTTAATCATTGATTACTTACCCATCCTCTTTGCTATGCAGTCTGACTTCAGTAACGGGTCCGAACTTGGAGAATTGACTCCGCAACAAAGACTTATTTATGTCCTGCTCTAACCTTCCCACAAACACTATCCGTCTTTCTTCTACGGGCGTATTGCTCTCTCTGTAACGGTTACAAGATTATAAACATTTATTATGTAAAACAATGTAGTATATAATATATAACCTTTGTGATTATATTCGATAATAAGTTTAAAAACTTTATGTTATGCACATTTCTTTGAAATTTTTAACAGAGCATTTAAATTTTATTAAAAAATATTTGCTAATGAACAAATATATCACATCACAATTGATAAAGGACTTTTTTTTTACAAATTAAATACCTATTGATTTATTTAAACTGGGCATCTCTTACCTATCTTCAGAACTGTAAGAATTCCTAAAAACTGTCGCCCTAGAGTTATTCCCTCGGAACGTGCTGGTAGCTTCTCTTGAGATCGATGAAGACCCACTAGTATTGGATCGCGAAGAAGAACTGAAAGAGATTATATTATGTTAAAGACATAGTATGTTATTTATTATGGCTACTACATAGTAGTAAGAAGGCATCTTCAAAAGTCAGGCAAACAATGACATATAGTATTTATTCTTTCGTGTTTTTTTTTTGGAAAGTTATTTTAAACTACAGATGTTAATGAAGTGTCATTAGTAAACCGAATACAGCTTAATGCAATTTAATTAAATAAAATGAATCTAATAATATGATCTGACATCTGATCTGAAATCAAAAGGAAACTATTCTATTTAGTTGGTTGGGTGGTTAATGTTAGTATGGCACATTCCGTTGATTATTTTTACCTGGAAGAAGTAGTTGTATCAGAACTCTCAGAGACAGTTGGTTTTCTTATTGGTGGTGTAAGTGATTTGGTCTTTTTTTCGATCTTTTGCGGACTTTTCTTAGCAATTGAGCTTTTAGTTTCTGCGTACCTCGATCCAGAACGAACGGAACGATATTCTCGACGCAGCGGGGATCTATAAGGAGACCTAGAACGTCTTTTTCTTCGATACGGTGAATCAGATCGCCTGTACCTCTTGTATCTTCCACGGGACCTTGAACGAGTTCTTGTTCTTGATCTGTGTCGCCGATGTCCACGAGAGTGTGATCTAGAGCGCCTGTACTTAATTTCATGCCGATCTTTTGAACGTGAACGTTTTTCTTTTACTGGTGATCTTTCGCGTTTTAAATCTTGACGCTTATTTTCAGTCTTTGGTACAGGAAGCTGCCTTTCAGGGCTGCCCTCACTAGACATTGACATGTCACTATCGTTCCTTTTTCGTGGCGATATTGTTTGTTCTATTGGTGTTTTTTGTTCAGTTACTTCAAGTGTGAGTTGTTTATATACTTCAGTACAAGCGGTTTGAACTGTCGCAACACGCGTTTCTGGTTTCGTTCTACCTTTTTCTAAATGAAGAATGATTTTGTCCTCGCCATGGTCTGCATTTTCATCATAGTCCCGGACAATAATAGGTTTAGGGTATACAAATTCTAATTTGTGTACTGGTGTAATTAATTTTTGTTTGTGGTCTGGATGAGAATTTGTATTATGTGCATTAGTAGCTTTTTTCATTACGACGTCTTGTATACTTGCAAAGAGAGAATTACTAGATATCTTTGTGTCTACTTGTTTTCCTACACTTTTTAAAGTAGCTGCTATACCTTTGTAGCGTTCTTCATCTATTTTTATGTCAGCAGTTTGATCATCTTTAGGGCTGTGCTCAGTTTTCATGGATTCGAAAACATTGTGTTTTAGGATATTGTCAGATTTCTTTATTTTAAAGTTTATAGTAGATTTATTCTCTTTTGCTGGAGACAGTGGTTTATATCTTTTTATTTCAGGTATTGATTCAGTAACCTTGAAAACTTTTTCGTCGGTATTAGTGCCCATACTTACCACAATAATTTCATCATAGTTTTTGGGTGGCTGATAATAAGCTTCGTTCGATTTCGGAATCGGTATAGAAATAATTGGATTAGCAGACATACTAACAATTTTCAGCATTTCTGCATCACTAATTAAAGGTTGTAATTCCAGGTTTTCAACTTTAGGTATCTTACTCATTATAAAATCTTCATCTCGTTTTCTTATAGCCTCGGCCTTTAATTTCTTAGTGTTCATAAGAATTTTTCTAGATGCCTCACGAATTGGGTCGAAAATCTTTTTAGAAGTCTCAGAACTGACAGTAGCTTTATTATTATGTTCATCACTTGCAGGTTTGATAGCAGCCGGCAAATCCCGTGGACAGCTGGAAATTGGTTTATCCAAAATGATATTACCCGGCATTTCTGGGAATATTGCTTCTGGACTCACTTGCGCCGAACTTTGATTTGAATTATTATTTTCTCGACGTAATTTATATTCCTGTAGATTAAGCTTCTTCTTTTTTTGCGGCTGTATTTCATTTTCAGTCCCATTCGTGGATTCATGTGGAACTTGATCGACGTCATCGTGACTTCGTTTTTCCGTAGTTTTCGTTATATTTTGAGGTACTTGTACGTCTTTTTTATCTTTAAATAGAGTAACGTAGAAATCATCGGCCTTTGAATGTTCTTGTTTGACTTGCTCAGCAACTTTATCTGTTTTCTCATTAGCCTGTTTAATTTTTTCAGGAACACTTTTTTCACTAGCATGCTTGAATTTCTCTAATCTAGTTTCCTCGAAACTTTCCTTATCTGAATTAACAAGAGATTTTTCAGCAATACTACTTTTTGTTTTATCTAGTTCCTTAGCATCACCATGTCTAATTATAACTTCACACTTATTTTTAATAGTTAATTTAAGACTACCATTAGAATTTTGACTACTTGCAGTATCACTTGCTTTAGAAGCATTTTTCACCATCACAGAACCGTTATTTTTATCCACACTACAGTTAGAAATAAAATGCACGGGAGATACTTTCTTACGTGAATTAATGTTTGCATTTACTTTTAAAGTTTCTTTACTACTACATTTCTTTCTAATGTCACTATCATCATCACTAACACGATTGTTTACAACTTTTTTCTTACTAGCATTGCACTTTTCACTTTCTTCATCACTACTTTGATGATACACTATCTTCTTGTTTTTACAAGATCTGTGCCTTGAACTTAATATCTTATTATTGCTGGATAAGACCTCAGGTTTTAATAAACTACGGCCGCCTGTTATGTTTGGAAGGCTGTGCCGTTTTTTAGTGGTACAGTAGTCATGATCTGAATGCACAGGGCTTGGAGATCTTCTTGCTGTAGTATTTATTGTTGATGGCATCTGTAATAATTTAAAGTAAAAATTACAGACTTACAATTCTGCTATAAAGATTTAAATGTAATAATAATACTCACCAAAATTTGTCGCATTTTGTTTTTGTTCAATTGGACACCAGCATCCTGTAATCGCATTCCATTGGTTAAACTTGTTATTGGTTTAGATTTCACTGTAGTTTCCACCTTAACAATTTTTTCTTTCTTCTTATTTAATTTTTCGGTAGCTTCAAATTGCTCTAATAGAGAATTTAAATTGTTTGCCTCAAGCACTGGTATAACAGAATCATTGCAAGACTCAACATCCACAAAATCATCAATGTCATGTTTTACATCTCTTTCCTTTTTAACATTTTTTTCAATACAAAAATCGAAAACTGTTAATTTCGATTTTAAGGGAATCTTGGGTAATTTAGTGTGAGAAATTGGCTCATGTTTTACAATCCCAGTTTTCAGTTCAGTATGTTGATCTTGTATATTAGGTGAGTTTATAGCTGGAATTTTGTTTAAGCTGCTCTTATAAGTTGCATTAGGCTCAACAGAGAGTGTTTTAGCAGATTTAGTATGGTCTTTAGACATTATGGTTTCAACAGGTTTATCGATTTCCATATCTTGAAGCTTTAAATCATCTTGATTTTTTATACTAGGAGCACATGAAGAAGTTATTAAAAAACTATTTACATCTTCTTCTGTTAGAGTTTGTGGTATATCATCACTTTTTGAGCTATTGTTAGATTTGTCTTTACAGTTATCAAAGGACAAATCAGATAAGTCAAGATTCAAATCTTCAAAGCTTAAACAAGTTTTAGAATCTATATCTAAACAAAGATTATGCATTGGGGAATGAGGTACGCTGCATGATCTTTGAGCATTTTTCAACTTATTATATGGCATATCTTCTAACAGATATCTTTTTAAATCTTCAATATTAGGCAAGCCTGCAAGATCTGTTTCATTAATAGGCAATTCTGCCTCTATTTCTGTTTCATTAATAGGCAATTCTGGCTCTATTTCTGTTTCATTAATAGACAATTCTGACTCTATTTCTGTTTCATTAATAGGCAATTCTGGCTCTATTTTTGTTTCATGAATAGGCAATTCTGGCTCTAATTCTGTTTCATTAATAGGCAATTCTGGCTCTATTTCTGTTTCATGAATAGGCAATTCTGGCTCTAATTCTGTTTCATTAATAGGCAATTCTGGCTCTATTTCTGTTTCTGAATCGGGAATAATGACTTTAATAATTTCGCTTTTATCATCATTATGATCAACTGCAAAAAATTCTTCAACATCAGGGACATTTTTTTGTATCCGAAAGTCCAATTCATCTGGCAATTTTTCAGGTATTAGGAAATCTTCCTCAATAGTTGGTTGTGTAAGTTCCTTGACATTTTTAATGAAATACTCATCAACATCTTTAACAACAGGCTCATCTTTAACAGCCAATATATCTTTCTCCTCTATAAAATATTCATCAACATTTGAAACTATAGAAGCATCTAAATTAATGTCTAAATTACCTTCACATATATTATCTGTGGGGTTTTGATGGTACAAAACGGAATTATCAGTCTCTGTGTAGTTGGATTTGTCATCCGAATTTAGGTATTCTTCTTCATCTTCCTGTTCATCATCATGTTCTAGTTCTTCATCTTCAGAGGAACCTTCCAAATCTAAATCTGGGTCAACAGCAAATACCTGGATAACATCATAATCTGCACCCTCGACAAGAGAGGTATCTTCAGCTGAATCTGGATCCACCTCATTATCAGATGAATCAATTCTTTCATCTATGGATACTTCTTGTACATCAATTTCTTCCTCATCTATACTTGAATCATGGCTTTTAGTTATATTTATCTGAAAAAATTGATATGAATTAGTAATGTTTGTCTTTTAGAAATTTTATATTCATTAAATTGATTTGAGGCTGTTATGATAATATTTTTATCATAACAGTAGCCTCAAACTACTACTATACATAAAGAAATTTTAGTAAAAAACGAATGTAAGTTTTTTTTGCATAAAATATATCTTTTTCATATTTACTTGACTCAAATATATACCTTCTGATTTTGGCTCCACAAATTTCTGTTTTGATTATTCCAATACTCTCCTTCATTACTTTCCTCATGTTGACGGGATGCCTGATCCTGTGGGTATTCAGGACTGTTTTGGTCACAGCTACCTTCTGATGATAGCGACTCGCTTGTTGTACGCATAATCTTATGATCTATTGTGCGGTAGCGAGCATGATGATACACATTTAAAACATGAGACTCCATGTCTGCAACAAGTAAAAAATATCTTTATATACATATATATATGTAAATAAATAGATATGTAAAAATATTAAGTTACTTAAAAACTTAATAAGAAAGAGATTTTGTTATCACTGGCAATCACAACAAACTCCAAAATTTAGTGTTAGAAAGTGACACTGTCACTCAGTAACTTCACAATCAGCTGATGTAAATAACAAAACAGAAAATTTTTAAAAAGTGAAAAAAAAAACAGCACAAGATATATCATTACAATTTCAAGTGAACCTCAAAATATATAATATAGAAAAGGTAGGATTTGAATGTGTAATATATAAAAGAATTAAAAAAATCTCTAAGAAAATATGATACTGCTGAAATTAATCTTAAGTTATCAAAACAATCTCAATGAATTTCAAACATTTAATAGACATTGTTATGAAGCTGCATTAATTTTTTTTTTTTTGTTTAGAGCAATCATTAACTTCCTTAGTCAAGCATAAAGTAGTATAATTTATTGAATCAAAGATATTATATTTAATCATCAGGTACTTTTTAAATTGAGAGAAAGATAATTTTAACTATTAAAATGCAGTATAAATTACAAAACTATTTTACATTTGACGTCCAATTATCTTTTGTTGTATCTTTTGTATGGTAAATAAATTTTTAATCTGAGTCATTCTAAACAACAAGTATGTGATCAACTTACTAAGCTAAAACATTTTTTTCAATCTCATATGTTAACCTGTTTTAGTTTCTTGAATACATTTTTATTTGTGTTTGTACACAAATAAAAATGTGAATTTACTACATTACTTTCATAACTCAAGGGACTTTTCTCCCGCTGACTATGACTGCTGTAAAGCAAGTGAAACATTGAGTTATGCAAATAATGTAATATATTTACTAAAGAAGTTGTATTTTAATACTTTCCTCTATGTCAAGCGGCTTACTTAAGTGCAGAGATGCATAAAAAAGGATTAAATTAATATTCTTGATCTCAGTAGTACAATATAATTAATAATTTAATAAAATTTTGCTAGTATTACATTTTATAAATATACTATTAAGGCTTCATTTATATAACACTAATGCTTATTGACTTTGACTTTGACTATTGTATTATTAAACTATCACACTTTTACTACATTCTGTAAAATTATTTATTAAGTAAATCAATATTTTTGTTACAAAGATTTTTTCTTGAGTACATATTTGTCAACTATCAAATTGTGTTCATAAAATGTTAAAAACTTGAAACTAATATTGCAATTAACCACCTCATCCATTACCAAATAAGTTACCTTTTTTTGTAAGTTTTCACATTTTTTGTTGTAAATATTATAACAAAAAAAGATTAAACTTTGATAAACTAAAAATAAAGGGCTAAGGTAATGGGTATATTTGCAATGCTAATTTAAGGTTTAAATGTGTTATCAAAAAGGTAAAAACTAGTTTTATCATGATACTGTCAGTATAAGATAGGGAGTTGAATATTCTGTCATAATCTGAAAACAGCTTAAATTATCACATGATCCCAGAACATTTAGCCTTAATTCTTACAACAGCGGGGTCTTAAGCTTTCGCTACAGTTAACGGTGATTTTGACCGGTGCAAAAAATACAGCAAAAAGTCACTCACCAATGCTAGGTTAGGTTCGATTAAATTTTGCGCTAAAACGATGTTTACGTGTTAACTACTTTATAACAACTAAACATATTGTTAAAGTAACATTAAAGTAAATATATATCGTTAATAAATGGAATTAATCAGTTAATAAAGAGAATAAACAAAGATACAGTGACAAAATGCGCGGAATCCTAACCTTGATAGCGAAATGCTTGATAAAAGTTTCTAGTTCAAGGTCTTATGTAAAAACTGAAAAGTCACATGTAAGCGTTACACAAACAAATCTGTAACATCATTGCAACCCGACCAGAAATCTATTTTAAGAAAACAACAGACGAAAAAAGCACTAACCTTATAACCACCTCAAGTGACGGCTTTATCCATATAATATTAATTTGGAGTAATTGATGCTGCTTACACATAAAACACAGTCCGTAACAGTCACAGAACCCTTTTTAACACTTTTCTACACTACACGATACACAATTTTTTGATATTTTCCTTTAAAAATTAACACTTTTCACAAAACATCACATGCTAAAACTTCACGCACGACAACTATCAAAATTTTCATTTTAATGTTGCCACTTCACTCAACTTTGACAGCGGACAAATATGATATTTGACACATCGATATTGACTTGTAAGCTCTACGTAGTAATGACGTCGCTCTTTAATCATATTATTATCTTTGTATCACCATTAAGAAATTTAATTTAATTCAATTTAAATACATAATTTATTCTTGACTACGTTTCCCAACGGAATACAGATTGAAACTGGTAGAGTATGTAAGGGTAACTTTTGTTTCATAGGGATTTTTTACCTGAGTAACAGATGTCATTGTCTACCTCATCCCCTTTCAGAGAATGCCTCTTCTTTAATAAGATAGACAGAGACAAAACAACATTAACTAAAGCTGTCTATTGTTTAAATTTCCAAATTATTCTGTCCATTGTTTATAAGTTGTAATAAAAAAACCGCTACGTCAGCATAATCCTGAAATACATTAGTAAATTAGTAATGTTATAAATAAATTCTTAGGAAGTTTATATTTATTTTTAAATTGATTTTGCACAAAAAAAAGACTACCGATTTTGTTGAAATCGATATAATTAAATAACCTACTCTTTTCCAAGTCCCGGATTGGAATGATCTGTATATCTGTATAAGTAGTTTCGTTCGATGTATTTTATACGTACTTAGATGTACCTACGTATGATACGCAATATAATCAAAATGTGACGATCCAATGTCTGTAGGTAAAAAAACTATAATATGATAAACTATATTTTTTCTCTGTCCGTCTATCTAGTTTAAGCCCACATTCATCACTATGAAAAAGTGCAGTTAATAAAATATATGGCATTATTGATAGATGTCACGAGGTGGCGGGAGCGCCGACGCGTTGGCTGTCATCAAAGAAGAACAAGCATCGCCCGTAAACAGCGCTAGTGTAATTAACAACGAACAACCAGAAGATCCTCAAGATGTGCCTAATCCATGTCCCTGTAAAGGTAGATATTTTTATAATATTATAGCAAGTAGTTAAGCTTTTATAATTAAAAAAAATATATCGATTATACATAAACGCCTGAGTAGTAAAGTAAGGACACATTTTGTTCTAAAGGTATAATTTGGTTTTCTTTCATATCTTTGTTTTCAATATATCGAACCCAAGACTACGAATTTTAAACGCTTAGATTAAACTATATAATATATTAGTTGTGGAATGTGATATCTACCTTAACTTTGTTTCACATAAATCAGTATATTAGTAATACCAAAGACAATAACGTAAAATAGTTTAAAATACTTAATAAGTATTAGTAAGTATTAGGATTAACCAATCGGTAATCTTCAACTCATTAAAACGATAATACATAATCTTTTTTTCAATCTGTAGATTCTAATTGTGCGTGTACCTATTTAAAAATCCAAAAAAAGTTACCTAAATAGAAATCAAACTAAATTTTAGAAAGCTCAAAAGTGAAGTTTCGTACTTCGTAATTACAAGTTCTATGAGAGAATCATATAAAGAACTACCTTAATCTTGGATTACGAGGTAGAACGTCCGAGTTCTTTGTTAGATAATGCCAATGGTAGCAAATTAATGTAATCATTGAAATTGATGTAATTTCATGAAAACTTATGAAAAGGTTCGCAATTATTTGCGAATGCTAAAACAGTACTTTGCTTTTTTACTAATAAAGGCGTTGTATATTAAAAGCCTAGTTATTGATTATGCTCGGCACACTGATACATCGGTACAAGAACAATAAAATACAATTTTTAATGTGAGAATCACTTATAGGCAAACATAACATACACGAAGAGATAATAAAAAAATTAAACAAAACAATTAAATTATAAAAACTAAACGAAAATCTATTTTTAAGTGTGTAGCTATTAAAATGCTCAATCGTCTTCAACTGTTATACGCGCTAAATAGACAAAAAATATATTTAAAATAGAACATATACCTATTACTTTTTAATGGGCTTATTACTAGACTTCGATTTTATGCATAATTCGCTCATGATAAAAATAGTGTGATTTAAAAGGGCTTCCGCTCGTAATATGTAGGTATCACAATTGATAGAGGGTCTGTTTACATATCTACCGGCTGTTTTGCCCATATACTTTGCCATTTAATGATGTGAATCTTTTTTTAATATCTTAATATATATAAATTACGTGTCACGTTGTTTGTCCGCAATGGACTCCTAAACTACCGAACCGATATCAATCAAATTTGCACACCGTGTGTAGTTTGATCCAACTTAAAAGATAGCTTACATCTCAATTTATACCCGCAATGAAATTTTATTGCAAATTATTTGTTTATTATTTGACACAATTCTAACAGATGGCACTGTGTTGAAAGTACCAACGTTTCACATAAGCTACAATTTAATGGCATAGCCACCAAAAAAGCATGGTGATCCCCATGACTGTTGTTTTCCTGCCGTTCCCTTTGAATAGTTTACTACTATGTAATATAACAAAAACCTTAGCCACAGCAACGCTTGGCCGAGTCTGCTAGTATATATATATTTTACAAAATAATATAATAAAATCATGATATGTTACATTAGAAAATCGCTGTGGTTTGTATTAATGTAACCACAGCAGTCTTGTTAAGGAGCGCGACAAATACATATAAAAGTAGTTTAATTTATATTACTACATGTTTATCGTGAAATTTAAATTTCACTATGGCTGAGGAGACGATATAAAAAACTATTTAAACGTTGTGATACCTATAATAAACAATCAAAAACAATCGCCTTTTTCGAAATAATTAATAAAGTATTCACTTACACCGTTTCACTAGATTTATTCAGAAAGAAGACTATATACATGTTTTATTTAACATGTTCATAAACCATTACATTTCTTATTTAAGACCGACTTAGTCCCGAAGAAGCGAAGAGACGTACACAAGAAATAGAAAAACTTCTGAAAGAGAAAGAAGATGCTCTCACCGCAGAATTTCAATCTCGAATAGAGAAAGAAGTTAAAATGATGAAAGAGAGATTTGACTACATTTTACAGTTAGTATTCCAGGAACCATTTTTACAGTTAGATTAAGAGCAGTGTTGGTTACAGTGGCTTGAGCGTGTGACTCTATTTGAGGTCGTAGGTTCGAACCTCGGCTGTGCACCAATTGACTTTTACATCTGCGCATTTAACACTCGCTCGTACGGTGAAGGAAAACATCGTGAGCATACCGGCATGACTTAGACCCAAAAAGTCAACGGCGTGTGTCAGGGAAGAAGTCTGATCACTTATTATTACAAAAAATCTTTTTTTTCTTCTTTTCATCATTTCGAGTAATGAAACGGAATATATACAGACTTCATAAGCAGTTATTTTCAGGAATGAACAAATAAGAACCTCTCACATGATGAGGGAAGCTCACAGAGAGAGGAAGGAAAAGGTATCAGCGCTGCAGACGCAGTTGGAGTGCAAGAACTTGGCTGGTTTGATGTACGTCATGTGTTCTGAAAGACGGAAAAGCAGGCTTCAGCTATTGAGGCTCGTGGAAGGTAATATTATTTCAATTATTATTCACTTAGTTTATTCAATGCCTGTAACAGTATAGATTTTTAAGCGAATCCAGGTCGTTGATCCTATGGCCTAGTCGCTAGGTAAATGACCTACAGATATAGTTATTTTGCTATTTATCTTGATATTAAAATCGTTAGGTTTTTATAATAGAATAAAATTGTTTTTAAAGTAATTATTATAATTAAAACTCCGTTTAAAGGCTGATATTAGGCAGGGATCTTTTCAGTCTCCGCTTAGATCTATACAGAATAGTGAGCTAATTAAATCTTTAAAGGACTAAGTGGTAACTATAATGAATGCCTCTGAGAATTGACTTTGAAATCAGAGTTTGAGTGAAGATTATTTGTTGCCTATTAATAACGAAAAACTTCTTTATAAACGAAACCTCTATGAACTTTAAATTATTATTTCATTTTTGAGGTAAGCTTTATGGCAGTATTTTTAACATGGGATTTTGGTCATCAGATTACACAACCTACATAACGGGGCTACAGCATATCTTGGCTGAAAGTCAGGCATTAATATTAAATTTGTCACGTGGGTATAAAACTGCTGCAAGAGTTGAGCAGGAGTGGAAAGAGAAAATGGATAAAGTTATTAAGGAGGTATAATAACCCCATTTTAATTGGTATAAATTAGTTAATAGTATTATAGAAGTATTCTATAGGTATATAATACGTAGTACCTTTTATATCTAATATATAAAATTCTCGTGTCGCGGTGTTTGTGGTTAAACTCCTCCGAAACGGCTCGACCGATTCTCATGAATTTTGTGTGCATATTAGGTATGTCTGAGAATCGGACAACATATATTTTTCATCCCCCTAAATGTTAAGGGTAGTCCACCCCTAAATATTTTATTTTTTATTTTTAGATATTTTTTTCTGTTTTTATTTTTTTATGATACAGCATTAAAAAATACATGCAACCCCTAACTTTCACCCCTCTACAATCAACCCCTATTTTTTTAATAGAAATGATATACATAGCAAAACGACGTTTGCCCGGTCAGCTAGTGAGTATATAAATATATCTTATATTATATAATAAGAAATGTTTTACTGAAAACTTCAGTAAATTTTAATTCACGATTCGAAGATTTTTATAAAACCATTAATTATTGAGATTTTTAAGAATATAAAATTGCTTAGATTAGCGGAAGTAATTACGAAATCGCATTCTGCATACAATAAAGATAAAACCATAAATAATAATGTCCAGACAAGGAGTAAATTGTAATACTACAATATCAGGTAAAAAATGTATTAAATTTTAGTATATTTATCTATTCACATAAACAATAGAACCCAATAAGGCAGTATAAACAATAGAAACTAATAAGTTTCTGCGAAGGTATGGTCGGCGTTTTTGACCTTACAACTGCGACGGATTAACACAATCTGAGAAATATTTTTGCGCGGTTTATGACCGTACCTAGATTCCCAGAAGGGAAAGTTTTATTTAAATCTGTTGCTACACTTTGTTACGCAGCCCCGTATTTATTCAAGACTTTATCTCTCAATTTTCATTTAATTCTTTGGGTTAAAAAAAATTATGCCTAAAATGTAAATAATGCAAATGCTTAGGGGTTTATAAAATTTCTCCCATACGTCGATAAAGAAGTTTGACTTCAAATAGCAACATGGCGCGTAACCGAAAAATGTGACGCGTAACGAAAAAATGTTACACTAAATTTTTTTCCAACCTCGATAAAGAAGTTTCACTTCAAAAAAAATAGATTTGTTCGCTAAGACTACCTTCAAGGCTTTTATTAGTTTTGATTTCTTCTTTTATGACTTCACAGTTTTACACAAATTTATTTCAATATTTACATACGTATGTAGATTGCTATGAAGCACTTGAAACACCGAGTATAAAATAATTAAATATGAAGTTGTCCAAACCAATACTGAATAAAATAAACCCTGTTTTTATTCGTGAAAATGTCTGTTTTAGTTCCTCGGTTTCATTTACCACTACGCTGGTGGGACTCCTGAAACAAACCAGTATTTCTTTGACATCCCTGCTTTGATGCAGACCAAAGCACCTATAAAGGATGACCCGAAAGAGGACCCTTGCGATTGTTACGAGGTTAAACAAGGTCGGTTTTAAAGTTCTCCTTTATTTTGTAAATTCGTAAAGATTACTAGCACATATTTGACGATGGTCTATTTTCCATGTTATCATATAATGTATTCTTGTTTTATGGCATGATTTATACCAACATAAAGCAACATTGTTTTTGAGGGCATTGGTTTGTTAGCCTGACATTCTTGGATCCATTTTTGGCTATAATAAATGCAGCTATCCACTTGATATTCTTTCTATTCTGCTTAATAGAAGAAACAGAAACTGAAATACATCAAGAAAAGAATTGGTGGGAAATGATAGAAGGTGATGATCCTCCCTTCGTAATATTCGGTGACATGGCTGATTTTAATCCACCAGAACGTAGAGAGGTTCTAAAGTCTGTTAAGGCCGCTAAAACTGCACCAAAGAAATGGAAAGAATACGGTAAATTGTAGACTTAACTATTAGTATGTATGATTATAGTTCTCTGTACATATCTATACTAATACTTGCTGACCTGCTCACCTGGCAAACGTCGTTTTGCCATGTATATCAATTATAATAAAAAATAGGGGTTCATCGTAGAGGGGTGAAAATTAGGGGTTGTATGTATTTTTTAATGCTGTATCATAAAAAAATAAAAAAATTTTTTATCTAAAAATAAAAAAATAATAATATAGGGGTGGACTACCCTTAACATTTAGGGGGATAAAAAATAGATGCTGTCCGATTCTCAGACATACCCATTATGCACACAAAAATTCATGAGAATCGGTCAAGCCGTTTCGGAGGAGTTTAACTACAAACACCGCGACACGAGAATTTTATATATTAGATTATAAAGAGTTACCTCTATACACAAACATAGGAAGCCATGTTATTTGCAAGTGTCATAGACTATATACATATTAACCTTTCGGGTTTATAAAACCTGAACAGACTTTGCGGGTATTTATTTGTACAGTAAGTCGAAGAAAAAACGGTTTGACCATTTTTTGACGTTACGACGTTACGTTACGAACGAATGTTATAAAGAGAGATATGTAGTAATATGTATAAGCGATATCAATAGGTTGATAATGGTTACAAAAAGTCAGTATGTCTTAAACACAAGTTCTTCTCCGCATGAGTTTATTATTTTTTTAAGCTTCTCTCCTCTCGTGCGAAGCCGTGAATTTGTTGCATCAATAAATACGAAACCGTAACCAGTTTTTAAATACTCACATATTTTCTATTGTATTCTATGTATTTTTTAAATACTTTTATTTAATTTATTCGGTAGCTGTTGTCAAAAAAAAGTCAATTTCATATTTGTTATATCGCCTTTCTCTCTTCTATTTCGCAGTTTTCCATGAAATGTTTCACAGTTTGAATTGTCCGAATTTGGATACAATAAAAGATGAATTTTTGAAGCATCAACCCAAAGAACAATGGGAATGTCGGCAAACAGATAAACAGTCTCTTAAAGGAGTATGATTAGTATTCTTAGCATTTTCTATTTCTTATATGAACAACTCATATAGAACATAGATATAGTCTTTTAAAATACCTGTTTCAATTCTGAAAACATGAAAAATTATTGATCTTTTGTCTGAATAATAATAATAATTCAGCAGCGTTACAACCTATGTTTGGTCTCAAATTACATTCATTTTTTTAATCATTTTTATTTCGTAGACAAGTACTAGTGTTCAGCCTTCTACCTGACACATGTCGTCGATTTTTTTCCAATTTTTTTTCGATTGGTGCACAGCTAGGGATCAAACCTACGACCTCAGGGATGATAGTCGCAAGCTAAAGCTACTAGGCCCATACTGCACGGTTTGTATGAATGCGTCCAGTTCAAAGTTAGTTAAAAAACTCCTCTTTTACAGTCCGATACGAGTCAAAAACGAGTAACCAGAGCGAGTATCGATATAAGAGGAACCATGGGATCTATACTAAAAATTATGTAAGAGAATTTTGATAGTCATGTTTTTTCGCTCAAAACTTTTACTTTTTATCTATGAACCGTTAAACTGCCTTACAGATTTTAATTTTAATGTATTTATAAAAAAACCTAACAGGTGACCCTAACTTGACAAGAGTGCACAATAAGTGAATAAAATTTACAGACGAAATATAAGAAATTAATTAGGAAAAACAACATTACATAATAAAAAAATAAGAAATTAACTGACTACTATAGGCACTAACAAATAAGAGAACTTTTGACAGTTCACTCAACGGACAATCAAAAATGTCCGTTAACCTACGTAATTCGTTAACTAAATTTAAACACCGATGACATTGGCTATGGCCTAAAAAAAATACGTTATACAATATTAACCTTCTAAAATAAGTATTTATTGATTTTTTTAAAAATAGAATTCTTCACGTTAGTCACGTGACTAACACCTTGATCTGTTCGTGTCGTGTATCTACGAGTATTTTACAGTTGAGATTTTTTATCATATCGTCGTATGGATAAAATATTAATTCGAAAAATGTTTTTTTATAAACAGCATGTTCCAATATTTTCAGTACATCTAGTGTGGTTCCGAAGGCTGTTACAAAATCAACTCTGCTTGGAGCAAGGGACTCGATGGAAATTGCATCTACCACGAAATTGGTAAGAAATAAACCTAGGTTAACCATATTAAATTAATTTGTGATTATAATATACAATGAGCTCATATAGAAGACCATACTTGATGATTTTGGAAGGAATGGACCAATGTTATTATACTTTTCTGCGATTAAGCTAAAATGGTGACAAATATGACAATCATAAAACACAAAATCACAAATGAATAAAAAAAATTCAATGTTTATCATACAAGCAGTAGATAAATATTTGTTTAGTCTAAAATCTGTTCATATAAATGCTTCGGGATGGTACGGCCGAGCCGCTTTTTTGCTCGCCAGTTGATGATTTTTTTTAATATTACAGCGCGAGAAGCAAAGGCAATCAACGGATGCAGGGGGGCAGAAGGTCGTCTTGAATGTAGGGAAGAGAATCGTAAGTTTATAATATGCCTCTTTTACAGTTTGTTAAAGCGTCCGGAATATTATATATCTGACCACTTCCTTTAAACGAGCTAATCTTAGGAACTGGTTCGAACTGACAAAATAAATGTATGATGTATCATCTATAGAGAGCAGTGTTGGCCTAGTGGCTTCAGCGCGCGACTCTCATCCCTGAGGTCATAGGTTCGATTCCCGACTGTGCACCAATAGACTTTAATTATATGTGCGCAATTAACATTCGCTCGAAAAACATCTTGAGGAAACCGGCTTGCCTTAGACTCAAAAAGTCGACGGCTTGTGTCAGGCACAGAAGGCTCATCATCTACTTGTAATTAGATTGACAAATGATCATGAAACAGATACAGAAATCTGAGGCACGGACCTAAAAAGGTTGTAGCGCCACTGATTTATTTTATTATCTATTTATCTCTGTAGTCTATATAATATAACACCATTATCTCGAGGGTTGAGAATATTAAATTCAAGATGAATGACCAAACATTGAGTTTAATTATGATGTATCATCTTGTGTGCAAAGAGAGAAAAAAAAAAAAAAAAAAAAAAAAAAAAAAAAAAAAAAAAAAAAAAAAAAAAAAACGGGGCGGAAAGGGGGGGGGGGGGGGGGGGGGGAAAAAGTAGAAAATTAAAAATAATACATAACTTCAATTCCGGTCAAAATAGTGTTTTATTAGACCAAACATTGAGTTTAATTATGATGTATCATCTTGTGTGCAAAGAGAGAAATGCTGTTTGCCAATGACAATCAAACGGATCGAGCCGTCGTTTCGTCTTAAATACGTCTTATAATTACAAAAAAGAACATGTATGTGTACTTATGTACACGCGTTAGAAGTTATACTTCTTTGGCGTATCAAGATAAAAATCTTTTTAATTTTTTATCTTTCGCCTCATTCTACGTTTGTAGAAAAAACAACACCAACAATAGAAAAAAGGTATTTAATACATTGAAAGCTCTATTATAACGCATTATCGAGTTAAATAAAGTTTATTTAAATATCACAAAAAAATATTCTACATAATTAAAGAAATGCACATTTTTTTATTTTAAAATGTTGACTATGCTAACTTCAGGGTGTCGGTTTCTTGTGACGGTGTGCACTCGCATCCTAGAAATTTACTCTCATAATTTTTCGCTAACGCGCCATATGAAGTAAATCTTCAATAATAATAATAAGCCTTTATTCATCCACATCTTACTGAGATACATTTAACAAAGGCAGATATAAATAAAAAAATACTTTTATCTTCTGAGATCAAGGCCTCCTTCAACTTTTTCCACCATCTTTTATTTTTTGCCGTCGCCTTCCAAATTATTACCAACCCTTTCGATCTCGTCGGCCCATCGCTCTTTTGGTCTGCCCTTGTTTCTTTTTCCTTTTGGACCAGTCCATTCGGAAACCTGTCATCTCCATGGAGTTGTGTACTTCATTGGGTTGTATTAAATAATTGTTGCTCAGCATCAATTATTTTTGTTTTTCTGCGAATACATTCACATACGTCTTGCCTATAAATAAAATATTGAGGCTGTAGATTTCGTAACTCCGCATATACGTATTTTAATTTACTTGTATTACTATTAAACAAATTAAGAATGTTAATTGTCTTAATATAAATCGATAATTTTTTTTCGTGTATTTCAAGAACTTGCATATTTGCTCCTGTTGGCTTTCTTCTTTACAAACATTCACCCAAGGCATTTAAAAACTGTTTTCTATACAATCAGTATTTATCCATACGTTTGTTAAGAGTTATAGATCGTATAGATTTTTATCTGTAGTTAATATATTTGAGTAATAATAATTCCAGGATTCACTCTTCAATGAAATGATAGAGGATAATGAAGAGGACAACGTGCCACCACCGTAAGTATAAATCTTTGTAGTTTTTGTAAAATTATATTTTTTTTCTAAGTGCACTTACATACGAACAAGAACGGATATATACCTTGTGCCAGGCATAGAAAGCTGATCGTATCTGAGGACAAGTCCAAGGCCTGAAGAACCACTATTTATTAACAGTATTATTTTGTGTATTGGACCCAGCATTGTCTATGTTTCCCAAGGTTTAAGTTACTTATATATATTATATATTTATAGAGACGCATACAATTTAGAAGATGAAGAATTGGATGAATCATTATCTGCACTTGGGTATGTTTATCTGCATTCCTTACATTTGGTTCCTGTTATAAATTATATTCCGTAAAAAAATATTTTATTATATTATTTACAAAACTCGACTCCTAGCGCTTCGACTTAATTATATTCACCTGTATTAATGAAATTTTTAGACTTTATTCATTAATACTTAGACTCTATTCTTTACTTGTACATAATAGTCCGGTATTAGTTTTTTACTTTGTAAAGAACTCGACAAATTGCAATTAGATCCAATATTGTGATATATTTAATATGTATTGTAATATAATTCAATCTGCGAATAGCATAAATTGCTACCATTACTTTGCTCGCTTGAGGTAAACATTTTAGTTTTGCAGGCGGACCTACCGATCAATGGACCTTAAAGTGTGTCAAACTGACTTATTCATTGCTACCTGAGGGATTAGGGTCTCTCTATACCTACTTTAAGTAAATAAAAGATGTCTATTGTCGTCTTTTATTTACTTAACGTGTAGTACATTTTAAACACAAGATGCTCAAATAAAAATTGTTGCGAGAAATTATTGTACAATTTTAAATTTCGCGTTTTGATACATAATAATTTATTTTTTAACAGTGAGGTTTCTTATAACAGTGGTGTTTAAAAGAGTTGTTTCACAGATTAATGTTTTTTTTAGGAGTTTGCACAACGACAGTTTGAGTGTGATACCTTCACATGTTCCTGATCATGACCACAAAATCCACTACGAAAAGGTATAATTCAAAAGTTAAGATATATAGATAATGAATATCGCTATGATGAACAAATTATAGTTATTGAAAAACATACTATTGTATATATGTTTTACAATACGTAATCGTTATATGATTAATATATTAAAATGTGCCTAAGCCTTCTTGTCTATTCCAAAGCAATTTTTATTCTTTACCAGAATTCATCTTAGTCAGTTATAGTAGGGGAGCCCGCGATGCTTAATTAGCAGTTACTAAATCGTCATAATAATCTGTCTGTAAACCCCACTTAACTAAGGGTCCACATATAGTAGGGGTACATTACACGGTGCAAGGTTTCTCCCCATAATTTTCTGACGCGCTCGAGTAACGCGCAAATTCAGGGCTCCCCAACTATTAGCTTTACACACAATGACACCATCATAATTATAAATTTCGCCCGCTCTACGCTTTTGATTTGATATTATTCCTTTTTTAATATTGTCGTTTATTAGTTACCAATATGATTAAATACATTTTGATTTGATTTTGCAAATATATTACCTACTACAATAAACGCAACAAAAACAAACAAAAGTACGTGACAACAACAATTGAGGTTATAGAACTTTTGTTTTCGTGAGTTAGCCTAAAATCTCTATGGTATTAGCAAGAATTAGTCTAAGCATGCCAGATTTGACAATTGAAAACGATTTCGTACACTATATCAAATAGACATGTCCGATGGAACAATGTCAGGCAATGAAAATGGACTCATTCATACGAACGCTACCTCCTTATATGCAAGCCAGTCCCTTCACCCAATACGAACAAACGTTTGATGAGTACGAGCCCTGTTCTCCAGGTAAGACATATTTGCCCATTTTTATTTATAAATCTGGAATGGTTTAACATTCATCGAGTTGGCAAATCGCGTTTCAAATAGATTTTATAGAAAAGATAACCTTTGTGTTGGAGTTAAAGCCCTTTTTTTCAATGATAGAATTGCCAGATACTATGTGACATTGTTTGGTTTCAAGGTTTTCGATATACGCTATAGTTTTCTTCGAATGACCTCAAAATTAATAAATGTATATTCCTTAGCAAGAAATGTCCCATAGTGAATTAATATGCCGGAACTATTTCCAACTCTATTTAGCGAGGCAAACGGGATCGCGCATTCACTGGCGTCTTGATAACCTATACAATTTGAAGCGTGGTAATTTCGTGTCCTTGACAATCTCTAACAGCCCGTTCCCACTAGTCGAAAGTCGCATAAGACTAAAAGTCGAATGCTCCGGTCACCATACACTTTGTATGGAGCTGTTCACATTAGATGAGACGCGACTTTTAGTCGAATACGACTCAAAAAACCATCCGACGGGCCAGCGCCCGTCTTAAGACTAAAAGTCGCGTCGAATCATGCTCGCATAGGTGCCTGCTTGTTGCTGTTCACACTAGTCGTGCGTCTTTACGACTCGAGCGCGTTGTTACCTCCCTCCCCGCCCCGTTTCCTAGACACACATTCCTACACATTGCTTGCTCACTCCATTCGTGTTTTTTTGTTTGACTTCCCAAAGTCGATCTTTCTGTTAGGATTGGGTGCATCCAGTATTTTCTTGGAATTGAAATTTTTTTCAACTTTTTTAATTTTCTTCGTAAGTAGTAGAGCACAACAAGTTCTTCGTCGGCGTCCATGTCGCGAATTCGCTACGTACCGAATGGCGCGAAACTACGATCTATACGACTCGCGACGCAGTGTGAACAGGGACATCAGACTTTCGACTTTTAGTCTTATGCGACTTACGACTAGTGGGAACGGGCTGTTAGGGTTCAGGGATCTTAAACGATTGGTCTTAAAATTTGAGAAAAATCTGACAAGCCGTTTGAATATTATTTGTTTTTTATATAAACAACAACTTGTATGTTAAAATAATTGTATTTTTCAATGGATTCCTTTGATAATTTTTACATTCGACGTTGCCGTTTTGGGTCACTCTTTTGTCTAGAAACAAAGGAAATATCGTAAATGTATGTTTGGCAAAATAGATAATAGATAAAGAGTTCAACACCATCTTTACCCCAAAGAAAGTCTCTCATTCGCAGTGTAAATCGTTTAGTGATTGGGCGACAGCGGGAATTTATAAAAGTAGACAACGGTTGTATGACCTTTACGCTGAAAAGTCATACAATCATAATGAAGAATTTATTCTTTATGTTCGAAATTATTCGAAATTATTTAAGAAAGTTTGTTACGCGGCCAAGTCCTTAAATATCAAAAACAAGATTAAAAATAGTACCAATAAAACTAAAATGACTTGGAAGATAATTGATAGTGAAACTGGAAGAGTCAGGGATCGCAATCAAGACATCGAACTATGTGTCGATAACACTATAATCAAATCTAACGAAGAGATAGCGATTGTTTTTGATAAGTACTTTTCTGACATTCCAATTTCGACTACTAAGTCTCTTCAATCATCTCCCGCCCTCGCCGAATCGCTGCTCAAAGATAATGTAAACGAGTGCAAGGTCAGTTTTTCATTCCGACCCATTGGTGCCGACGATATAGTGAGGATATTTAGAACCATAGATATTAAGAACACTACCGATCTTTGGGGTATTTCTGTAAAAATAATTAGTAGCATAATTGATGTAATTGCTCCCCATCTAGCTATAATTTTCAACAAAAGTGGCGAGTTTCCCGATCTAATGAAACATAGTAAAGTTATTCCTTTATTTAAAGCAGGTAGTATGTCCGACCCCAGTAACTTTAGACCAATTTCCGTACTACCTACTTGTAGTAAAATATTTGAAAAAATTATATTAAATCAACTGGTAAGTCATTTTAACGTAAACAAATTATTACATAATAATCAGTTCGGTTTTACCAAGGGTCGCTCGACAGCCGATGCCGGTGTTGAGTTATATAGATATATAGTTAAGGCTTGGGAGGAGTCGCATGACGCTTTAGGTGTTTTCTGCGACTTATCCAAAGCATTTGATTGTGTCCAACACGAGACCTTAATCGGGAAACTCCGCCACTATGGCATCAAGAATACCGCACTGAATCTTCTGACTTCCTATTTACACGGAAGAACTCAGAAGGTTGAAGTGAATGGTAAGAGGTCCTCTGGGTCGGCAGTAGATATGGGGGTACCACAGGGCTCAATTCTTGGCCCTTTCCTCTTTCTTGTTTATATAAATGATCTACCTTTCATGGTAGAGAGAAAACATCAGATAGTTTTGTTTGCTGATGACACGTCCTTGATTTTTAAAATCAAACGACAAATAACAAATTTTGACGATGTGAACAATGCTCTGTCTTCGATTGTCCATTGGTTTAGTATGAATAACCTTCTTCTTAATGCAAAAAAGACAAAATGCATTAAATTTTGTGCAAAAAATGCAAGGGTTATGGATACTAGACCAATTATAAACGGTGAGGAATTGAATCTGGATGATACAACTGTATTTCTCGGAATCACCATGGATTCAAAACTTCAGTGGTCCCCTCATATTAACGGATTGGCGAAGAGACTTAGTTCTGCAGCCTACGCGGTTAAAAAAATTCGCTCACTAACTGATGTCGATACAGCTAGACTTGTTTATTTTAGTTACTTTCATAGCTTAATGACTTATAGCTTATTATTATGGGGTCATGCTGCTGATGTCGAAACTATTTTCATCCTGCAGTAGAGGGCTATTCGTGCAATCTATAATTTAAAATGTAGGGAATCTCTTAGAGATAAATTCAAGGAAATTAATATACTTAACTTTCCCTCGCAATATATTTATGAAAATATTATGTATGTATACAAAAATAGTGATAAGTTTACTAGAATAGAACATACGCACAATGTTAATACACGGAACAAACGCAGGCTGCAATTTCCCCGTACTAGACTATCTAAAGTTAGTAATTCTTTTTTGGGGAAAGGGATACTCTTCTTTAATAAAATCCCAGAGGCTCTTTTATCACTGCCTTTCAATAAATTTAAGAAATGTATTAAAGAAAAGCTGTGTAAAAAGGCTTACTATAAAGTCAACGATTATCTAGTTGATAAAAGGGCCTGGGACTAGTGCTAGACAGGCTACTTCTAATCAATTTGCGATATTTGTTTTAAATAAGTGTTGTTTGATGATTTGCTGTTTTAAAAGAGTACCGAGAGTTTTTTACGCCGGCTTTTTCTCTCGGCCTACACCCTCTGTCTTCTTTGCCGATGAGTAGGGATGCCTTCAAATTTAATGACGTGGAATAAGTGATACATGTATCTTATGTTCCATAATAAACATATTTTTTTTTTTTTAAAGACCTTATCTTTTGACCCCTTAGTCGATTTGTCGCGGTGACTGAATTCTGAAATCGGTTATGTAATTCGTCCATGCGCAGGTGCCGATCCCTTATGCCGGTAATGATACATAGAATGTATGATTGGATACCTCTTATTATGCCACGATGAAAGGAGATGAGCACTTTAGTAAATACGAATCCAATTCTTAGTAACTAATTTCTATCAAAACAACAGAACAACTGGAAATCTTGAAGCAGAGAATAGAAGAGAAGAAGAAAAGGGAAAAGGTCGATTTCCATCTGCTAGAGGAGAGTCCGCTTAGTGAATGGCCGCAGACTATAGATGGCGTTGGTGTACAGACGTCAAATACATCCGTGTTTTTGCCCCCCTGTACTTGTGGCATTGAGAGTGTTTCTGACGTGTCTAGTATTGAACGAGTTTTCAAAGGTATTAAAAACTAATGTCAAACAAGGTAACCATTTCAGTTCACTTAATTCTGAGTTTGTAAAACGTTCTGTTACCCCCAATATGGCATGAAGCAACTAATTAAAGGGTTCCTAATTAGACCTAATATTTATTCCAACTCAAACATTACGGTATTGTAAAGTGCTGTGTTTACACTTGCTAACATAAGTGCTTTTTTTTCTTTGTCTGTTGTGTTCACTATATAAATAAAAGACATACCCGTCGAATTGACAACCTATTCGGGTTTTAACTTTTATATAGTCGTTAAAAAAGACAGTGTAAGAGTAATAATTTTGAGTTAGAAAGCAGAATAGGACTTGATTAGAGATGGCATTTAGGAGCTAGTCTATTGCAACTATATCTAAATCATAACATGCTGTCTTCATAATATGAAAAAGTAGCTTAGATTATAGGCAAAAGATAATTTAATACTAATTCTGTAGTAATGATATCATAAAGATTTGTATTTTTGTTTAAAGCAAAACTACTTGGTTAATTTCTTGTATGGAAGGGAAAGTAAAAAGAGGGGGGGCATTTAAACCCCTTTTTCTTTGGGGGGGGGGGGGGGGGGGGGGGGGGGGGGGGGGGGGACAAACAAAAAAAAAAAAAAATCACACTAAAAAAGGGTTGGCCGGGGGGGGGGGGGGGGGAAAAAGGGGGGGGGGGGAAAAAAAAATTTTTTTGAAACAATGGGGGGGGGAATTTTTTGGGGGGGGGGTTGGGGGACCCCCCCGGTTTTGGAAAACCGACCTATATGTGTTCTTAATCTTTGAGTAACAATTTTATTTCCCATATATTTTAATATCCTGTTGTGTGAAGCCTAGGCAGGTCGTTAGGTCTTAGAATCTAAGTTTGAATAGTTGGTTTTAGTAGTAGGTAAGTACCTATACTCAAACGTTTCCATCGGGTTTTAATTACCGATATTAGGAATTGTCATTAAAAATCGTTTTGTATGCGATTTGTATATCTTGTCTGTTTAGTAATATGTAGACTTACTATTAAAATATTCATCATAACCAATTTTTTTCAGTAACCGACTTGATACCTTTAAAAGAAAAGTTGGAAAAAATCAACCAGCAATGCTTCTTTCGAAACGACGTTGATTTTGATCGTTTTGGAGTTATTGGTCAGGAATATGAAGTCAAAACGTAATTATACTAAATAACTTTTTTATAATAATGCTATTCATAAAATCTAATTTCACATTTCTATTATAAATACATATACCTACTTTGTTATATTTTTTGTATATATAAGTAATATAGGTGAGACTGTGCTTTATGTTTGAATGTGTATTCCGTTTTTGGCTTTTGTGTACAATGTTATTGTTTGGATATTGTTTAGTGAGTAGCTGTAGGAATACTGTTGAGGAAATAAATAAATTTAGCAGCGAACATAGGAATTGGGTCGCCTTTTTTTAGTCCGCGAAAAGTGAAAACTTGAAAAAGCGCCTACTGTAATCCAACAGCAATAAGTGTATTATTGTACAATTTAAATATCTACCAATAACAAGCACATGCATAGTATACACTACTATATATTATGTTACAGGTCTCGAGATAATGTTGTATATTTTAGTATTATTATAGTCACAAGTCTACAGGAGAGCTTGAGACAAAATCACTTTTTGACATGCGTGGCCACGCGCCACGTGCGCCAAACGAATTTGTATGGTCACGTGACTAAGCGTGAGGTCATCTCATTCATATAGAAATTGTTTAAAAAAGTGATTAAGCCCCAGGCGTAAGCAAACAACAAAGAAAAATAAAAAATCTGTCTTTTTAATATGTTAAGCATTATTATCAGCTTTATTTTTAATCAAAACTATTTCTATTCTTGTAGATCCCCGACAGAAAACTTCGCCAAGGACAGACTACGAAACATAACGAAAATACTAAAACAAAATCCCAGTTTATGCGAGATATTCCAAGCCAACATACGTTAAAAATAAACGATTGCGTGTACATGTATTTATTTCTAAATATTAAACAATTATAAATAATACGGACATTTTAAAAATACTAAAAATACAAGACAATTAATTGATAAACTAATTAATTAACAAAGGCATCTGGTATAAAATTAATTTGTGTAATATCAGATATATCCTTTTGTATAGAATTGGGTAAATCCGATTCAGTATCTTTAAATTCTTCGTTATCAAGATAGTTGTCAAAAGTCCTCTGATCAATGATTTCTATTCCTTCAAAAAAAACTTCTGATCTGATTTTGTCAACGTCTTTCGACTTTTCCACAAAATCATCCGGTGTTACTTCAGTAATACTTGGCTTCGAAAAAGATTTAGCAAGCTCTATTCGAGTTCTCTTTTCTGGCATTGGAATTCTCGATTCTTCTACTTTATAGATTTTAATATCTTCTTTAGGAATTTTCTCTTCTGACTTAGGTCTTGATAGGTCTTCAAGCTTTGGTATTTTGCTGTTGGAGTCACTAATTTTTAATACAAGGGGTTTATTTGGTACGACCACGTCACTTACTTTCGGCGAAGGAGGACCTAACTCGAATGGAATGACTAGACTATTTTGCAGTGCTTCAACTTCTTTGCGCCTAAATTGTTTTCTTTCTAATTGCTTTTGCAATTCATCAATTCTTTCATCTTTAAGTTTTAGTAAATTATCTAGATGTTCAACCTGAAATCGAATTAAATAGCATATACATAGTTGAATTATGATCTATATAGTTGTCATTGTAATAAGAACCAACGTTTTTGGTTGGTAATATTATACAGTAATAATTAAGAGAACAAGGTATTTTATCAACAAAAATGTCGGAATTAACGTAACCGTTAACGACAACCTACTTCAGCCAATATTTAAAAAAGGACTATCAATTCAATTTGTTGCTAAAAGGTCTTACACTGTACTAAGCTTAGTCGTTAAATAAGCTGGGTATTAAATATTGTACCTGAATTATACCATGATTTAAATAAATAATTTTATAATCACTATTTATATGATACGTTAATTTTATAACAAAACACAAAATATACATAGATATATTTCCATTTTGTACAACATTTTCGTATATCTTCAATTTTTTTTCTTCATTATCATGTATAGCATAATTTTAGTCTGTCTAATTTTGCGCGTTGTGTGTTATTATTAAGAGTTCCACCTTAGAGCGTAAGCTGCCGGAGTGTAAACAAAAATAAATAAAAAATAATTGTACTGGACTAATTAGCCCTTGTGAGTACCTTTTGTTTAAGCACTTCAATAGATTCTTTCGCGTCTTTCATCTCCTCTTTGAGCGACATATAGGAATCGTAGCATACCACCTTACGTTGAACGGTCTCTAGAATACCATTAATACGCGACTTAACCGGAACAACGAGCACGTTTGCTGCAAATATACATTTACATGAATTTTTTTGTAATTTGTAAAAAATAATCTCTTTGGTAACATACATAATAAAGTGTTTTAATGAAAGTAAAAAGAAAAATTATTTCTTGTATTACACGCAACGTAAACCCTTCCACAAAAAGTATAAAATTATTTTAGTTACTGTAATTTCGTTAATATAACTTTTTAACATTCATTTAAATAATCACATACATGTGACCTATTTTACCTTTATTTATAATAATATTATAAAGAGGTAAAGTTTGTGAGGGCAATTTCTGTATCTACTGAACCAATGTTGAAAAAGCCACGATATATTTTGTGTCATAGGCATTACAGCAACCCAAAGAAAAATTTTAAGGTTTGGGGGTCCCGGGGAACCTATTAGCGTATGCGCGGTAGACACATACTTCTACAGCACCGTTTTTTAAATTAGATTTTTGTATCATTCTTTTTAATAAATCTTGACACTTCCACACCCATACCCATAAAATGGGATTCACATGATTCTGATACATTCATATGTCATATGTACCTCTATTTGCCAATGAAAATATTATGTATCTCCATTTTAAATCATCGTTAAAAAGTTGGTACTGTACCTTCATCTCCACAAGTCTCATAGTAACTGCCACCGCTTGATAAATTTTGTTCCTGGTTCATACTTCTGTTCAGCTCTTCATCCCGGCGAATCTTATCACGGACTGTAAAATAATTAACCCTTGTAGGAAAGTATTATAATGCTAATAATAACATTTAAAATTATTTCTTTGATTCAAAATGTATTTCAAATATGATTGCTAATAAATTGAATTAGGCGCAATCGTTTACGTGTGAATAAACTGAGACTTTAGTAGTAGTAGCCAAACTTATTGCTTTATGATGCAAAGAGATGTTTTATTCTTCCATTGCTGTTATATTCGAGATTAATTTGTACTTGAAAATTGTACTTTCTGGTAAAATTTCCTTACCCATAATGAGTACTCTCTCGATAACTCCCGGTGCACAGTTAGCCAGTTGCTCCATTGTGTTGCAGCATAAATTGAGCCTTAGTTTCTTAAGTACCTTTCTATTTAAGGTCATCCAGTTATTCAATTTCAAAGAGTGGCTATTTCGCGGCGGATAATTGTGCATTTCAACAAGTTTTGGATAATGGACGCCTAAGATCTCAGCTAGAAGTACTGAAACATTTGGAGAGTAACTTAAGATCGCTTTATAAATATTTTTTATATTAATTCTTTCAATAATAATACAAATACACATACTATGTAATTATTAATACATTAAGAGTCTTACTACACTACTTACTAAATTTTTATATGTTTAAAAATATTATACATTATGTGGTAAGAAAATCTATGTATACCTGCATCGGAAAAATCCCTATTTATCTTTTTAGTGGGACGTGAAAGTTTGAAAGTGTCCACCCAGGCCAGCACCGCCTCGAGATCGGACAGAGCTATTGGCGACTCCGTTATAGACATTATTTTAAATTATTTGTTTATTTTTAATTTATTTCACAGTTCTGATTATACGTTGAGAATTTCGCGTTTGTCATGACAAAAATTGTGACAGGTGGCCAGTTATAAAAAGAATCTAATTAATGAAAACTTTATTTTAACCAAACGCTTATATAAATAGTTTTAATTAAATATATGTTCATTTCAAATTGTGAATTAAACTAAAATATTTTTTTTTTCTAGTTTTGTTGTTGGTCAAAAATCTTTCGAAATCATTTTATGAACCGAACTCTAATTCTGCTATCACTCTTGGATTAGATATATTAAAGAATACTATTTATTTTGTTAGTATAACAACAAAAGGAAATAGCGGTTGAAGCCAGTCCGCAAGAACGTACGGGCTTGCCTCAAATATTTGTAGAACCTTTTTCATAAACTCCAATTAGTTAATAATAGTCACAGTTATTAAGTGCAAATAACAATTCAATATTGATAATGATAACATTTTCAATATCAATTTGGGACTTATAGTATAATTATAGTTTAAACTATACATGGTAAGACAACTAAAATACAAAACACCCATTGTAATTCAAACGGTTTTGTGTTAGCTTTATTCTGTACTATTCAATGTATTCATAAAATCCGATACAAAATAATGGAACCTTAATTAATTTTGTTTATTATATAAATAAGAACATGTCATACGTAAAATCAGGCAACATTCCTATTTTCTCTGGCAAAATATAATATTAAAGGCTTTCACGGTATGCGACCACGCGAATCAGCCAAGTCATTCCGAGAAAATAACTTTCTAAGATTTCCTATGCAGCTGCTATTTTGCTTATGACCGGCGATTTAGAGTTTTTGCTATAATAAATGCATTATGATTTATGATATAGGTAGTTTGTGTGATTGAATAATGTTATTTTCTTTGATCATAAGATTATATATTTGTATACGTCGTGTTTTTTTGTAAAACAAGGTAAATGATAGTATCATTGATAAATTTCTGAATAGGTAAGTATATATTCCTAATAAACGCGTAAATGTTTTTGTCGAATCCTAAGATTTAGAGTCAAAACTTAGCGATTATGACTTCCCTTTGTGAATCCAATGCTTAATATTTTAAAAACATGGGGTTACATTTAGCGCTAATTGCGCAAGTAATAGTATAAACATTGGTGCACAGCGAGTCTTTGTAAGTTCAAGATTAAGCATAACACGCTTATCCACTACGATAAAACTGCACATACTCTACCACAAAATAGAATATATCAGCGTTGTACTCGTATCTACTAATAAATGTCAAATTTATCGCTTAAAAAGACCATAATTACTATATTTTTCCATACAAAAATAGTAACAAAAACAGCACCTCTAGTTCACGTTTTAAATTTATAATAATTCTGTTAAACTTCAATGGGTCAACGCCTGGATTGTATATTCAAAATACCAGTAGAACACTTGTGATAAAAATGCCAAAATATACGAATAGAACCCAAAAGTAATACCCGAACCCATTGTAAGGATTTTTTGTCTTACACAATAAAGTTGTCAACGATGATGTTAAGCCGATAACCATACCATCAAATCTACGCCTTTTTAAACTGCAGTCTTCTGTAGCTAGATAGTCATAATTACACGCTAATCCATAGCAGCTTCGTTTGCACTTTTGATTATGTATTTATACCGTTATTGTGAGTGAAACATAAAATACTTTCGACTGATTTAGTTACTTTTATACGAAATTCGTGTTTACCCTATGCACAAGGCGTAACAGCACAAAATATTTTAAAATACTTCCATAATAATGTTATGTCACTTAAACACATACGAGTGACCCACAGGCGAAAGCTTGTTGTGTCAAATGACATTGACCTGTCGTCCACTGTTGTTACAGCTTAATGGAGAAATTCGTAAAATAGTTAACTGTTTGTAACTTTGACTTCAAAGAAAGGAGTTTATCATGTATTCTATGTGTGTGATATTTTTGTATTTGGATAATATTTGAGTATGAATATATACGATAATCCATATCAATGTGATGATTCTTTTGAGTTAAATTTAGAGAGTTATATCAGAGAACTGTTACCTTAAGAGCAGTCCAAGTTCCATCTATTCCTATAGGTAAAATTCTTTGGTCAGAGGATTGCTTCTAGAAATTATATGATAATAAATTATTTATTATAAACACTATTATCACCTACAGAATATTATTTTTATTTATATTTATTTAGAGAAACACACTGTATGACTTAGAAAATTAAACATTTTCATATTTGTATAAATATTTATCGATCTTGGTATAAAACTTTAAGATGAAAGAACTATAAAAAATTATTAATGCTTAATAATTTCGCGGCAGTTCGCTAGATTGGCTAAGTCTACAATCTCTACGTAACCCGAATATTAACAGTTACCAGTTTTCACTTTATAACATTTGACCAGTCGAAGACTTAATAGCTTTATGCATTTAACAAATTAAGGTACGTAATTACCGACAAACAAGTTAGTAACAGTAAATTGATGCGCAGAGGTCAGTTTTAATAATTTTTCCTACCTGGGCGCTACTTGTGGTGGAGCCACATAAAATCTGGCAAAGGTACGTGCCCATAGTAATAGCAAGTATATTTTACTACCTAATATATTTTTAGAAGAACTTATTTCTTACTTTCCTGCGACTCCACGACGCCTGGTAGATTGCGTCTGGATTGAACATATTATTTAATAATAAGTGGAAACAAACGCAGTGTATAGAAAGTTAGTGAAAATGATAGAGAGTTTTTACCAATATTAAGTCCTGTAAATATTCACAAACTTTATACCATGGTTTATAAATTTCTTTTCATGTCAAATAACAAAATTCTTAAAAAATACTAGAATAAACCACAAAGTGAAAATATCCTTCGAATGCTGTGGTTTATATGTTTGGTTTAAAAGGCCAGAATGAAAGAACAATAAAATATCATTTACGCTTAATAATTACGCGGCAGTTTGATAGATTGTAGGATTCTACAAACTCTGCGTAACCCGAATATTAACAGACGTTACCTTAATCTTTGTTTTAAACAGAAAAAAGTAATAAAATTTCTCCACATACACGATTATTGTCTCAAATTGATATCAAGTGAAGTTCGCTTGTATGCATTTAAGTCTTACGTAACCGAAATATTAAAGGTGTGGTAAGAAGAAAGCTTGTATCTTGTACTTATAAGTGAGCAATGGATAATCAGCGCATTGGCATTGTTTGGTACAATTAAACAAACCCTTAATGAATACAATAATGGTGTTTTTAGTCTATGTATGTTTTACACATTAAAAAAGTTTTGACAGGCTTCCCTTACATAGCTCAGTTTTGAAATATGCACTTCAGCGTTACATTAATTTTAAACTGTGGAGATTTTCGATCTTCTAAATGCAATCTTATTTAGCTATTGAGAAATTGTTGTAGTCGAAACCTAGGCTGTGCAGAAAAGGCTTTTTCTCTCCGTTTGCGCAAACTCTCGCTCGTACGGCAAAGGAAAACATCGAAAGAAAGAACAAGAAAGAATGATCCAAGAAGCAGGCGCAAAAATGTGTGTCGCGTGCCCCTATCAACGTGTTCCATTTAAAGTTTATTATGTTCATTCTCTAATACCTAACATCTTCTGTATTATGTCTGAAAAATAATACTATAGAATTCGAATTGTGTTCAGAATGTAACCAAAAAAAGCTCATATTTATATAACTACAAACAAACAGAACGTTACTTTCCGGGAAATATGGAAACGTAAATAAAAGTACTAGCTGTCCCTTTAGGTAAGTTTAGCTCAGCCCCATCATCACCTAATGGCGATGCTCAGGCGCCGGTTTACAGTAACCAAGGCAGAACAGTAGGTAAAGATTAAAAAGTACATTAAATAACACTAATACAGTACGTTATATTATGGAGACGATCACTAACGGATAAGTTTTGTTGTATTAATAACTTTAGAAGTCTAAACTAATTTATTTTGAATAACCTACTTTCTACGTTATACTTTTAAATTATTATGAAAAAAAATGCAGTAAATATTTTTTAATTTATTAATCCATGAAAAACAGAACGAAGGTGCTAAGAGCCGCTATATGCAATGTAACTTTAAAAGTTTCATGACGCAAAACAAACCTATTGTACGTATTATAGAGTGCTAATTTCTTGAGCAAATGCTTTCAAAATTAAATTATTATACAATTTCTCTAGATATATCGCTTAATACAATGCACTAAAGTCTATTTTTAAATACCTTTGTGTGTATGTAAGTTTGTTAGGCTTTGCTGATGAAATGGCTTAAGCCTGCGAGGCAGTTTCAGTTCACACTTCACGAAGATAACACGTTTAGTGATTTTGAATCTTCATTGTTAACAGTAAGTTAATTTGAATTATGTTTAATTAAATAATTATTTCAATTGAAACTTATATATCAACTTCATATTTTAAATCCCTCTTGTCTGTTAAAAATATATTTCAACTTTCGTAAGTCATTTTTTAAATGTGAAAGTGTTATGCTCTCACACTAAAACCACTATACGAATTTTAGTGCCTTCTTGGTGTCAGAGGTAAAGAAGAATATTAGCCTCTCCATGATGCTTATCCCAACAAAAAAGGAGTAGTAACGAAGAATGAAAAAGACTTATTAAACCGATAAAAAATGTTATAAGAATATTTAGTTAAATAATTAGAATTCAAATTACGTAGGATTGCGAACTAGATTAATCTAGCATTGGTCTATTAAATTATTTAGATTTCAAACACGAATTTTGAATTGGAATTTCGGAGTCCATATTGATGCGATACGAAAACATGAATAATTAAAGATATGGTCACTGACCACGACTTACGTGGGAATCTCGAGGTTAGACTATACGTCCGGAATTCCCCTTACACGTCGCCATAGTTAATCTTTAATGATCTGGCTTTTTATACGGTTTATACGGTGTGTTAGGATTGTTAGATAGTAATTTGTTTTTTAATTAGATATTCATAGTAGTACTGGCCTGTGTCGTTGCAATACATCTGATATTGATATCGGATACATAATTTATTAATTATTAAGCTTTATTTTATATTGTATTTTAATAGTAGCTAATTATCTGTAATTGTCAGAAAAAGGGCCGAAAGACTTCCTCTTTCTTCAAAAATTCGACGTCACTTGATTATCATATATAAATGATCGTGTATCACATCAATAAATGTCATTACATTTAATTGATGAGCACTTAGTCAAATTACATAACGGCTTACAATAATAGGTGTCGTAGAATATCAAATAGTTACAAATCAACTTTCTATTGTATCGCTTTAGGCCTCACATAAGTCATAACACTAACGTGATATTTTATTATAGCTGACAATTAAATTTAAAGAAAACATGAGAAATACCTCACCTTTTATGCCTCAGAAATTAATTTTAATATCAATACTTCTATTGAAAATAACAATATTGATATATCATTTATAAGAATATTTGTTCAGATTACAATCTATATTTATTTAAATGGGTCGGATAAAGCTTTTATTGATTTAACATCGTACAATATATTGCAATTTAATTATAACTAAATTTATCTTCGAAAAACGTTTAAACAAAAAATCAAAAACTAAACTTGGTAATTTTCTTAAGAGGCTATCAAACCATACATTAATTTAATAAAATATAAGTAAACGACTTCCAAATCCACAAAAAAGTATGACGAACAGAGTTATTTATTTATTTTTGATATTGCTTATAAATCAAATTAAATGCATTTACCTACCTATTCAATTCTGTTAATATTTTTTTATATGCAAGTACTGTACCATATGACACGATAGAATTGTTGTCTTGCCGAAAACTACAATGAGATAGACGTCTTTTTATATTGTAGATAAGATTTTGACCAAAACCATACCCGAAATGAACCTGCTATATATAAGTGTAGGTAGTGCCTGCTCATTTTATTTTAAATTCCCACGTTGATAAAGATTGTACTATTGGAGGAAGGAAGGTCTTTCGACATCCGCTTTCAGTTGGTTTCTTCTATCCTAAAATATAATAGCCGTTACCATAGCGCTAGATTTGATATACTTCGTACTTGTAAAAACTGTAACGTATAACGATGGTGTAGGTACAAAAGTCGATAAAATATAAAATCTTTATGGTCCAGTAATTTTACGAACTTTCAGAGTTTTCTAAATAACTTTCACCGAGGTTTCTCCTTCTAATTAGATATATTTTAAAACTTTCAAAGTAATTATGATTAATTTTGGTGCGTTATGATACTTAAGTAAATTGTAATAATTACTTTAATTAGCAGGTTTTAATAACCTATGACTTTAATTTAAATCATTTTATTATTATGTTTAATTGTTACATTGTCATTAACCAGAAATCTTTATTAGAGATTTTTCTAGATTATTAAATGTACCTGTGTTTTTTAATTATCTCGGTCTAATAATTTATATTATATTCTTTATTAATAGAGAAACAGTACTTTAGCTTAGTGGTAAAGCGACTCAAGGCACTCAGGCAACGTATGAATCCCGGCTATGCAAAGAAGTCCCTTGATGCGCATGAAATGAAAGCATCATGAGGAAATCAACATGTAATTCGGCACATACTCGTACATTGAAAGCTGCTGATTATCTACTTGCCAATAAAGTAAATTGATTGATGAAACGCACGAATTTGTTTACGAAACGCACCAATGATTTCTGCACTTTTCAGCAATAAATCCTAGTATAGTAATAAACAGATTACAATAATATTTGAAAGATAAAATTTTGATAAAATGGTTAACTTATTAGGAAATTATTGCCAGATTCAATATTAAATGTAGTTCAAGGAGAATTAATGCGGTTTCTGTATCAGACATAAAATAATAAATTATGTATAAAAATGCAAATGCCAAAGTTGCTCAAATACTATTCGTATTGTTTATTGTTAAGAGTTTCATAAGAATCATTACCATTTAATTGTTCATTTTGTATTTAAATAATTTCTTGGAATTGATTTGGTTTATAAGAATCAAATCTTAAGCGTGGATATATAAAGGGCGTATTGCGGTATGTATCATGTCACAATTTTATCTGAATCAATCTAAGTATATATAATTTAATTCGTGTAGGTAGACGCGGGAATCACATTGGGAAATCAAATTTACAGGACTTCAGTATAGATGGAAAACTACTAGTGAATTTAACCTACTTCAATTTTGTTTTCGATTCGTCGGGATAATTAGTTTTTTTGTATAATCCCCTATTGAACATTGTTTTTCTACCCAGGTAGTCATGATCATAAAATATAATATATATGTATTTTATAGGCTTAATATGATCTTCATGCACTACTATGTAAATAAACTAAAAATACTATATTATGTAACATTCAAATATAAAAACCTTTTTCAAAGAGTTTAAAAGTCGGGTTTTACATATATTTATTAGACAAATTATAATTCTGAATAACGTTGATAGCTTTAAATGATTCGTCAGTCGTCATCGTAACTTATTAACTTTGACATAATGTGATTTTTGGAACCGACAAATATTATGCTTACTTGAGGTTTTAAATATTGTCACAGTAAACATCTCAAGTTATTGTAACGAAGCAAATGATGAATCATACCTATTTATGATTTCCAATTCCTACATAACATCTTAGTATTAACGAGGATGTATCGCACTAGAGTTATACCTAACAAAGTCAATTTACTTTAATTTGTCTTTAGAAATAAAACATTATTTTAGAACTAGATTATAAAAAATAGACCAATAGAAAAACGATTTACGCATAAGTATTGTACACGTATTTTAAATGTCGGAACGTAACTTGGCCAAATTTTGTGTACTGGAAAGTTCCCTCATGTATAAAATTTAAAAGCCAACTTTGCCTTTAATTTAACGGAATATTGTAGAACAATTTAAAATGCCATCTTGATATCATATATCTATCTACAGTCATAGTTTATAACGCCAGTAGACCCAGTTTTATTGCCTTTCTTTATATTCATTTAAAAAAACTTACATTGTGATAGAGACCAAATATTTTGTTTCAGGAATGGTACTCGCAGCAGTATTGAGGCCGGAGATCTTGCTTTGGGCGATACCACTACTCCTCCTCTTAGGAACGATCGCAGTGCTCGGTCTACTCGTCGTGGTATTTCTCATTAGACTGTATGCCCAGGTCACCTGTGGCGTGTACAACGGAAAGGCGAGAATGGACGGAAAAACCGTGATCGTTACTGGGTGTACCAGTGGTATTGGCAAAGAAACCGCCAGGGATCTAGCGAAACGAGGCGCTAGAGTTATTATGGCTTGTAGGAATATGGACCTGGCTGAGAAAATAAAAGGTAGTATTTTTTATAAATATCTGTAAATAAAACGAAAATTCCTAAACGGTGTTACGTAGACTCTGACAGCAGTGTCCTAACATTTATTATGTCTACTACCTTTCTACGGATCAATTACTGAAACAATTGTAAAAGTAGGCTAGTAGTCGGACATAAAGGAAACGTAGGTACATAGATTAAAAAACCTTTCTTTCACAAACATAACACCTTTCAAAAATATTTTCAGATGAAATCATAAAAGAAACGGACAATTCGAAAGTGATTGTAAAAAAACTGGATTTATCCTCGTTTGCTTCAATCCGTGAATTTGCTGATGACATCAATAAAACAGAAACGAAGCTGGACGTGTTAATACACAATGCAGGCTATGCGCAGACCTTTAAGAAGGCAAAAACAGAAGATGGCCTAGAAATGACCATGGCTACAAATCATTACGGACCATTCCTTCTAACACATCTCCTTATCAACTTATTGAAGAAAAGCTCCCCTTCACGCATCGTAGTTGTATCGTCCTCTTTGTATAGATTAGCCAGGGTCAATTTGGAGAACCCAAATCCTTTGGACACTATGCCTGGTTACTTATACTACGTATCGAAGGAAGCCAATATTCTCTTTACCAAAGAATTGGCTCGTAGACTAGAAGGAACTGGCGTTACAGTAAACTGTCTTCACCCCGGTCTAATCGACACTGGAATCTGGAAAAACGTCCCAGCACCTTTAAGCTGGGGTCTTGCGCTTATCATAAAGGGTTTTTTCAAAACCCCACAACAGGGTTGCCAAACTACGGTAAAGTTAGCCGTCGAGGAAAAGTTACTGAAAACCACTGGCAAATATTTCTCGGATTGCCAGGAAAGTTCGGTGTCACCTTCAGCCAGCGATATGGGCAAGGCGAGAAAATTCTGGGAAATCTCTGAAAAATTGGTGCACTTGGAGGAAAATGATCCTAGGATTTAGTTCGCATTTCCATATTTTTTAATAATTTTAAAAGCGTTGTTTATACTTCTACGTAAATGTACAAAACTGTTATTACTATATTGATACCTTATTAATAACGCTGACAGTGCATAAACTTCACCGTGCTTGCTTATTTTCACCATTGTTTACGATAAAAGTATTAAATTACTTACGTAACGTTAAGTTTAAGAGTTTATGAACTTATTTATTGTACTTTAGTTTAATATAATATATTTTTGCTTTATCTATGTTTTTATTATGTTGAGGAGTTTCGAGTTCAACGTTGTTTTCATTTTTCATCGTACTATGCAGTGGCATAATATATTCATTTAAAAGAACTACAGACAGGCTGTTAATATGAAAACAAAACAAATTTTATGTAATTTTGTGCAAAAAAAGGAAACTCTAACAACAAAAATAAATAGCTATTTTCCCTAAAATTCTTTTGTCGGACCTGGATTATCTTGGTTAAATTTCTGGGAAAACACAGATATTGTTTTTGTTGTTTGAGTTTCCTTTTTCGCACAAAATTACATAAAAATTTTAGAATTTTGTTAGGGAGAAAATTTAGAGTTTCGTTTTCATGTTAAGCGGGGCCATAGATGGACCGCATGTTGCAGCCGATACCGACTGCTCTAAGCGGTCGCCGCACGGCGATCTGCAGTTTCCATACTAAATTCATATTCGCAATACACGGACCGCTCGAGCAGTTCCTGAGCAAACCGCATATTGCGGTCCGTCTATGGTCCGCTTTAGAATCTCTAAATAATAAAGTATCCATGAAATAGACAAGCTGCTTTATAGGTTAGCAAAATAAAAGAAGTTTTGACTATGATACATGTACTAATAGCAATTAATCTTATCATTCTACTAAAATAACATAAAATAGAAAACTATAACTACAGCTCAGCTATAAATAAATACATCAGTCTATTAAATCAAATTGATCAAGAAATGTTTGATCAACACCCAAAGCAGCGCCCAAACTCTCGCGGGTATTCTTTTGCACATCACTCTCAAAGGATATGCGACTTTCCTCAGTAAATGACAAGCTAGGGCTTATTAAATCTGGCAAAATTGATCTCATAACTTTCTCCTCTTCAATATATTTCTCTTCCTGTTCAATGAAGCTCTCTTTTGTTGGTATTACACTAGCTCTGACTTTTTTAAACCGATTTATAATTTTTTCAATGGAACTTGTTTTTTTAAACTTATGTGTGTTCATCTTTGGAGTGCCCATACATTCAATGCTTTGTCGTGCTGATGATGTTGTTTCCTTACTTAAATCTTTTAAATCTAAATCTACATTAGATATTATAATTTTAATTGTACTCTCAGCATTAGCAATGCCCGGTGTGCTAAAGTTACTGTTATTATCCAACATAGATATGCCAGATAGTTCTAAAGGACTATGTTCCTTCATAATAGATAGTTTACGCCCTCTTGTTCTTGGTATTGATCGCCTTTCTCTGTTTTCATAAAGATTCGGAGATGAATAACTCCGTGTTAAAACACAACTCTCTACTGAGACTCCTGAGTCATAATTGAGTGCTGTTGATTTAGCACTTGCCGGTCTTTCATTGCTATATTTATATTTTTTTGAACTACTGGTTTTCTTTGTAGAAAATAGTCTCTGAATTTGCTGTTTTGTAAAGCCAGATGCACAATCTGCTATGGTTTCATTACTTTTTACATGTGAGATCACAGATAGATTACTGTTCGAACTGATTTGATTATTAGGATTTACGTTGAATGATAAAAGGCTTCTCATAAAATCATCCTTTGGTGGGTGGAGACTCATAATCAATGGCTGTTTCATGTTACTGACTGTTCTGTAAAAGCTGAATTTCTGTTTTGATGCAACAAGGGGTGTAAATGTTTCAAAGAAAGCATGACAGTCTGTGCCAGCTTTTAAATTTGATAAGGATGGCCCAGTGAGAGTCCCAGGATATATGTCTCCAAAACCACCATTAGTTAGGGGCAATATGACAGATGGTGGAGAATACTGAAAACAATTAAAGCAGAATCAAAATTATTGTATTATGAACCTAAAAAGACAAATGAACCAGGAATTGTTTATTTCTCTCATTACTTAAATGCAATTTTTTTTTAAATTAATAACTTATTTTTTCATTGATGGATGGATTGAAAGTTTCAATAACACTCAGCAGTAAAAAAATATGTATCATATTCATGTTAGTTAAATTAATTAATTTACATTACAATGATAATTAATAGGTTTGCTATTTTTAAATCATTAACTAAAATTTGTGATTAATAGTAAACAAGGCATCTCTCAAGGCTGACATAAAATTGTAACAGCAGGTCAATTAATTACAAACCAAAAGGTGTAGTAAATATAATACATACCTCTATTTTTTCTTCAGCATTTGATATTCTTTCTATAACAGATTGTAGTCCAAGAGAAACTTCATGGTAAGTTATTGAACCTGTTTGTAAATACTTAGTAAAGTCATAAATTTGATTATCAACTTGAATATTTTTTAAAATAAACTGTATTGCTATTGTGAAAGCCCTTATTAAATTTGGAAAATTAAGTATTCCATTTAAATCTAAATTCTTTAAAACACAGGCTTGTTCCACATTTACTTGACGCTCAAGATCTTGTGTATTGATTTTATCAGATTTGTTATAAGATATCATGTAGTTACATTTTTCAGTTTGACCTGTATACCTCATAACAACAGTCTTTGTTAGTTCTGATGTTTTTTGACATAAGTCTAGAAATGGGATATCTTTTCTATATTGTTCTTCTAATTGGATAATTTTACTATCAGTGTATGCTAACCAATCGTCAAAAACTGAACAGTCTTCCTTTACATTTTTTATGTTTAAAATGATTTGCTTAGTTGTCTCATTTGGTTTCTTATGTTCAATATAGTTATCTACTAAATTGTTAATAAAATTCTGAGCTTCTGTAAGTTTCTTCTCATTTTCCACAATTCTAGTACGTAATTTACTGGCAATGTCTATTGTGATTTTTTGTTTATTAAGATGATTAGATAATTTAAACTGGATAGCTTGTGTTTTTTGCTCAACCAAGTTTACAAAAGTATCTTTGTCACATCCCTTTTGTTTAATTTCATCAACCTCCTTGATTATGGTCTTTTGACAATCATTACCAAGATGAGTAATAACTGTTCTTATTGCTAAGGAGGACATTTGAAATATTAACACAGTAACTTTATGACAACTGGGATTAACAAAATACGATGAGATGACTGGTGTTAATCCTTTATTGCTACAATTACACACAAATATGTATAACTCATTCCTATAGGCTCTTTCAGCTTTAGAATCGTATAAAGGCCACGTCAATTTAGAAGCACCTTGTGCATCAAGAATTGTAACAAGATAATAAGATAAATGGTTGAATAAGTTTTGTGTAGGTTTGTCAAGAGAATTTTCTTTAAACAGAAGTCGGGACAACTCTGGTTGCATAGGCCTCGCTTTCGATAACATACACAAGTTTAAAAACGTCTCTTTTCTATAATGAGCTGTTGGCATTTCACGCTGTGATCTAGACATTTTATTTTTTTTAAACTTCACTACACCATAAGATTAATTAATAATAAATAAACAATTAAAAACAGTACACTTCTATGTGTGCATGATTCAAACAACTACTCATCAAATTCAAATTTTTGACACACTGGCCGTTATTTTCTTCAGGTTAAAAATTTATTAGTGTTTTAAACGGCGTACCTACTCTGTATTCAGTAGTCTGTGTTATTTGCAAACAGTTATGGTCGAAGCCTAATTTAGAAATGAATCAAGTAAGTAAACTCTGGGACATTGACAATTTTTAATCCATGGAACGAAATCATCTCGAATCTTCTTCTCTCGAATAATTAATTATTTATAAGATTACATAAACGGAGAAACTAATTGTTTAAATACATTACCATAGACAAACCGATGACAATTGACAATCGACACTTACAGAACTACCGCATGCGTATTGCGTAGGTGCCACCACGCTAACTTGCTCCTGAAAAACACACGTGTTTGCCTTAAAAATGTTTTTGAATAAATAAAACTACACAATTATAATTCATTTTAAAATGGTAAGTTTTTTTACAAACAACAACATTTAAGATAATATAAACTACTAACATTTACTATCAGAATACATTCAAGATGTTGTTTAATTTAAAGATACGTAACATGATGCTTAATTATTTTGTATTTCAATAGATTTTAAGTGTTTTTTGTTTACTATGCAGCCATAAGAAAATAATTCTTTTTTCATGTAGATATCTATTATTTGCCTCACGAGTAAATCATAACCTATAAATAACTAAAACAATTTTACAAAGTTTAAAGTATGACATTATGAATTAAAGCTACCATACAAAACGTAATATTTTAAGTATTATATTAATAATTATACCCTGTTCAATAGGTTTTTTTTGTTTTTTTTATATCGGTAGTCTTTAGTAAAACAGCCATAATTGTCTCTGCAGTCATTATCACAGATTTAAGAACTAGTAAACAAAATTATACATTACATAAAGTATCTTTATTTTCTTTCAGAGTAAATTATATATCCTTTTTGAGCATGCTGCTGGCTTTGCCTTATTTCGAGTGGCAGAGTTTGAAGAACTTGCAGCCTTTCTGCCTCAAGTCGAAGAATCTGTAACAGACTTACAGAAATTTAATTCTGTTGTATCTTTGATTGGTTTCCAGCCATTCAAATCTGCTGTTTCAGCTCTAGAAAACATAAATGCTGTGTCTGAAGGTAAATTTATATGATCTTTGAGATCACCCTAACTAATTTTAAATATTCCAAAATTTACAATTTTCTTAACCTATAAAGTAATAATAAAAATAATTAAAAATAAATAAAATGAAAATCAAAACAAATTTAAAAAGTTTGGTCCCTGTGTCTTTGAGATTAAGTTTAAATAACTTAGTATTTTAGAATTTAGTAATACATGAGAGACCCTTCTGAAATTGTATTATTACTAAATTTTGTATTTTGATATAGTCTAAATCTGTTATAAAGACATTGAAGGGACTACTCATATTTGGTTGTAAAATTGATAGTCGTAGAAGCAGATGATGTTATTATTAAGTAGCTATTACAAAAGAATTCAGCCTGGATCTTTGATTTTAGTCAATATAACCAGTATGTTCTAAATGGTTTTCACGGTATTAAGGCTTTCAGTGTTTTAAAATATCATCAGAACTTGTAATTGTCCTGGCATTGGTTAACTGTATTTTCATGTTGGATTTATTGTCTATGCTATAAACATTAATTCCAACATATTGCTAATGATATTTCATTTATAACCATTCTACCAGGTATCTTATCTGAAGACCTAAATCTTTTTCTGGAGGGTTCACTGCCTAAGAAAAAGAAGAGGAGTAAATGCACTCTAGGTGTCTTAGATCCGAAACTTGGTGCAGCAGTTAGTGAGGCATTGGAGATACCATGCTCACATATTGGTGCTGTCCCAGAATTAGTAAGGGGTAAGGATAATGTTAACTTTGTAAAGTTTTGTGGTTGTGCCATTGTAGAATCAAGTTTTAGTAATAATAATAAAATATTAATTTAAATGATTTGCATGACACTAAAAAAACTGATACATCACAAAACACCTCTTAAATGCTAGTTTCCCATACATTTTAAATGTAAAATAAAATTGGGATAGTTAACATTTTGAAGCCTATTAGTTCTAGATTTATTTAACTGATTTAAAAGTAAATGTCTGACCAAAATTTTTTCTCTTAACCCTATCCCTACTTTTATTTTACAGGTATAAAATTCCACTTCCATGCCCTTATCAAAGGGTTAACCCTAAAAGCATGCTCTGTTGCTCAATTGGGATTAGGGCACTCTTACTCTCGTGCTAGAGTGAAGTTCAATGTACACCGAGTAGATAACATGATCATACAGTCAATAGCACTGCTGGATCAGCTTGACAAGGACGTAAACACCTTCTCAATGAGGATCAGGTTAGTTCTCTATAATTTACTATAAGCTATAGTAATGTGATCCTCTCAATTTATGTTAAAACCTAGCTCACGCACTAGACATAATATTTTTGAATTAAGCTTTTAAATGACCTTTCAATATATTTATTACAAGCATAGTAAATACTTCAAACATTCCATCTATTAAGTAAAATTATGCATGTTTGATCTATTGCAAGTTGTTTATAACTTGTAGTAATAAAGCCATGCAATATTATGACTGCAATTAAGGTATTAGGAAAAAAAGTGTTCTTTTTTCCTAAACTTTTGTTGCAACAAAGAAAAACAATAAATATCAATAGTTGAAAAAAACTCTTTATGTAAATATGTGGTTTTTGGTGCTATTTGTACTAAGCTAAACTGATATAGTCAAATTTGCTATAAAGAAACACACAAAAGGCACTTTTTATGCTAACTCTGTAATACCTTTTGGTAATAATACCTTTGATACCTAAATGCTAAACCTAATTTCAGAGAATGGTACTCTTACCACTTCCCAGAGCTTGTGGCTATTGTCCCAGACAACCATCTCTACACAAAGTGTGCAGAATATGTCAAAGATAGAAAGTCCCTTACAGAGGAATCTCTGGAGCCATTAACTGAGATACTTGGTGATTCAGAGAAGGCGCAAGCTATTATTGATGCTTCCAAAATGTCAATGGGAATGGATATATCACCAGTTGATTTGATTAACATACAAATGTTTGCTGGACGAGTTGTTTCACTAAGTAATTATAGGTATGGTATAATGTCAGTATTACTGGTCTAAAAATCATATAGTTTTTTACTTATCATATAGTTAAAGTGCTAATTTTAAATGGGGCACTTTTATTGTTTTAGTCTTTTCATTATATCTGCATGTTTGATCTACTGCAAGTTTTCCATAATCTGCAGTAATAAAGGCATGTAATATAACTGGTAATATAACTGCAATTTAGATTTTAAATAAACTATTTATATGTTATTTTTAATCTTAATTTGCTACATATACCAATTATATATTTTGTGCTGCAATAAAGTCAAGATCTTTATTAAATATGATTATGACTGTCTTCAAATGTAATGAAAAGTATTCTTTAGAGTTTAAAAATATTTTGATTTAGGAAACAAATATCAGAATACCTCCACACGAAGATGAACTCTGTCGCACCAAACCTAACAACGCTTATCGGAGATCAAGTGGGAGCTCGGTTGATATCTAAGGCTGGTTCTCTCACAAATCTGGCCAAGTATCCTGCCTCCACATTACAGATATTGGGTAATCTATTGAAACTCTTCTCCACACAGTTTATTATATTCACTAAATTATGCTACTCATATTTGTTCTAATTATGAAAGCTTTTATAAAAATCAATATTAAGCATGATGTTACAAATACCACATATACATAATTTATGAATATTGTTATAATTTTAGGTGCTGAAAAGGCGCTATTCAGAGCCTTAAAGACCAGGTCTAACACACCAAAGTATGGTCTCTTATATCATTCAACATTCATTGGCCGAGCAGGTCTCAAAAACAAAGGCCGGATCAGTAGATATCTGGCGAATAAATGTTCTATTGCTTCAAGGATTGATTGTTTCTCTGGTAAGAATATTTACAATAAAATTGTAAAACAATTTCAATAAACGTTAACATAATTGAAATTATCATTTGCAAGTGATCATTAAAAAATATCTTAAGGTGCGCTTACACGAGGGCAATAATTGCTCGGCGACTCGAATGGACCGATCTGGAGCAATTAATGGAGCAATTTCAATAAATTTAATAAATTTCAATAAATTATTTCGGGATATTGTTCTAATTGCTCCAGATATTTCATATAGCTCAATGTCGCAGATACGAATTGACGAATATCCAATGGACTTGGAAATTCCTAGCAATTTTTGTATATGTCTCATTCGCACTTGTTTGTTTTGCGGCTTACCGTCTTGCTTCCGCGGGGAGAGCGAGAGGTCTAAATAATAATAATTTCTAATTACTTTATTCAAAAGTAATTCAAAGTCTGTTCGTGACATTTAGTAAAGTTTTTGAATAATATATTACTAATTCTTGAAAAAAACAATTAAATTAAAGAATTAAAGAAAAATAAAAAAAAATAAAATTAAAAATTTAATTATTATTAATTATTTTTCTTTAATTGTTTAATTTTATTTTCAAATGAAAATGGCCTCTTTGCCAAAAACGATCGCACCCAGATTTGACGCACCAGACGCTTATTCCTGTTCTTTCTTTTTGTTTTTGATTAATAATAAAAATCGCTACAAGCCGCCGCAGCAACAACAATGTCTCCATACGAGAAATACTGAAATGTCGTGTAGCAGTATTGCCTAGTTGATGAAGTTGCGCCATATCGCTCAATATTGTATTGCGCAGTATTGATTTGTTGCCGTTGCCGTAAATTGCTTGATGTAGTCACGTCATAGTTGACGAGTATTGACTGGAATTGAGCAATTTTAGTTGGCCGTGTAAGCGCACCTTTACATCAAGTTTAATGCCGAAATTTTTTTTTTGATTGGACAATTCACACCAATTGACCTAGTCCCATGCTAAGCTGGTGAAGCTTGTGTTATGGGTACTAGGCAACGGATATACATACATATTATAGATAGATAGACATATAAATACATATTTAAACACCCAAGACCTAAGGACAACACCAAATGCTCATCACATTGATGTTTGTCTCAGCCAGTCCGTCTCATTAAATCATCATCTATGGGAAAATAATTGGGAGTGGTGGTAATTAATACTCCTCGACTCTGTTTAACTTTTATTTTAATTTTATCCCAATTCAACTGCACATTTATTCCTTTTAATGAAAGTTAAATGTAATTGTATCCACATGATTATAATTTCTAGAAAACCAAACAACTGTATTTGGCGAAAAACTCCGGCAACAAGTAGAAGACCGTTTGAAGTTCTATGAAACGGGAGATATTCCTATGAAGAATATTGAAGTTATGAAACTTGCTATGGAAGAAGCTGGGCAGCAAGCATTGGAGGTAAGTTTTAAACAAAAATAAATGTTATTAATTAAAATAAATATTCTGTTTAATCATAGCTAATATTGGGGTTGGCAAACTTGTTGGAGGCTCTATGTATTTATTTATTGTAAGGAAACGACTATAACATCACGTGAAGAAATAGATATAAGTAAAGATGTATCCTAAAACAATTTTTAGAAATATCCTTATGGGATAGCAATAGTTGCAGTTGATATGTGAATTGTATCTAATTTTTTTACAATGCTGAAGTAATAGACAACTGATGTTTTACTCGCAGCAAAAAATAAATCTATTTATTAATAAGTTATAGCTTTTCCTCTTAACATTATATTATGTATAATATATTTTTTTTTAAATGACAATATTATATTAATTTTGTTTTATGTATTTCCAGTAATAAATAACTTAAAACTTTTGTTCTAATCCGTTTGTTTTTTTTATTAGGAGGAAACGCCCAAGAAGAAGAAAAAGAAGAAGAAGGACAAGAAGCAAGAAGTAGAAGCTATGGAAGAATAGCGTAATAATAGTGCACTTGATGAAATAATTTTATTAATTAGAAAGTAGGTGACAGTGACGGTGGTTATTGCATACAGGATTCAAAGTAGCCTATCTCTTCCTGTGGTGTCTACCAAAATTCATCAATCTTGATTTAGTAGTTTAAGTTGTAACACCTCTATATTTGATTATAATTAGGTTAAGGATATAATTTTGGGTAAGAAATACTTTTATATGTTAAAATACAAAAAATGTTGACACTTAAAAAGACAGCGATGTTTTTGTTAGCACTATTGAAGATATTTTCATACTGTGTGTTAAATTAAGGTACAATAAGTATATTGTAGTGTAAAATTTAATAAAGTGCCTATTGAAATATAAATTTGATTTTATTTAAATCTGTTAAGTTGCGATTGCGATTTTCGTTGACGATTGGAATGGCTTAAACATTGGTGTACCTAAATTATTTCCCAAAGATTTGGACGTTGTTTATATAATTTTAATATATTAATAAGTTTTAAGTACTTTATAGGTACTTTTATCTATTATTCGTATAGGAAAGAAAAAATTAGGACTATCTACAAATAGAAATGATATACCATCAAAAACCTAATATTAGGTCCTTACATATGAAATTGGCGTATTTCGTACTGGTCACTTTAATCACGATGTTCTCGTCTTTGGTAAGGAATTCCAAGACCCAAGTTGATAATGATAAAACTGTTTTAATTCACTTGAAGCAAATTGGGAAGATTAAAAAGCTTGAAAGATGGGTACCTCACGAATTGACTGAAGCAAACCGGCAAACGCGCCGTCGACTGCTGCGTTACATTACTGAACCGGCACAATAATGAAGGTATTTTAACCGATTCATTACCTGTGATGAAAAATGGATTCTTTACGATAATCGGAAGCGCTCAGCGCAATGGTTGGATCCTGGCCAGCCAGCCAAATCCTGCCCCAAGCGAAAATTAACCCCAAAAAAGTTACTTGTAAGCGTTTGGTGGACTAGTGCCGGTTCATTACAGTTTTCTCAAATCTGGCCAGACTATTACGGCTGATGTCTATTGTCAGCAATTGCAAACCATGATGGAAAAGCTAGCGGCTAAACAACCTAGGCTGGTCACTCGCTCCACGCCACTGCTACTTCACGACAACGCTAGACCACACACTGCACATCATACGGCTACCAAATTAGAAGAGCTTCAATTGGAATGTCTAAGACATCCTCCGTACTCCCCGGACCTTGCTCCAACAGATTACCATTTTTTTCGTAATTTGGACAACTTCTTGCAAGGAAAAAAAATTAACTCTGATGGGGCAGTCCAAATTGCCTTCACAGATTTTATTGATTCCCGTCCGACTGGTTTTTTTTAGTAAAGGAATCAATGAACTACCTATGAGATGGCAAAGGTGCATAGAAAACAATGGTTCATACTTTGATTAATTAAATATATTATATTTTAAAATATTCGACTTTTTGTTCCTCCCATACAAAACGCCAATTTCATATGTAAGGACCTAATATAAGCTCGTAACTGAGTTCTTCTACCGTACGCGAGATCCATGGTATTAACCAAGTCGGTAACTTTATTCAGTCCCATTTATGATAGAAGAACTGATGTCTTTAAAAATTACTATTAATGGCGAAGTTTGAAAAGGACTAAATATTTAATATAAAAGCGGAAATTTTATAAGTTTTAATGTGTGACATACTTCTACATTCTCTATAGAAGTTAAACATAGGGAAAATTTGATTTTCCTATCAGGTTTCTCCGCACTTATGTATTGACATTATTAATTCAATTTTTATTAAATATATAGAAAACTGATAGCCTTTATTTAAACTAGCACAGCACAATACTCGGAACAGCCATTATAAGGCAGTAGTTTAGACTTTATTCGGCTAGATTAAAGTAAATATTTAAAGGTGGTAAAGCGTGTAATAAAAACCAAAATATGTCTCCATATATTTACTAGGCCGCCATAATAGCGAGCGTGTTAACACAATTTATTTTAACATTAATATTTACCGATGCTAATTGGGTAACGAAGAACTTGAATATATAGGGTATAGCTATTGATACAAGGTGTCCCTGTTTGCAGAGACGACACGTGTCTTTCGAACCCCCTGTAACTGCTATTGGTCCTAGTAATGTACCGCATTTCGTACAAAGCAACGCCTGAAACCAAAAGATTTTTTAAATTACAAATTAAAACAGGATTATACCAACTAGAAAACTGCTTATTTTAATAACAACGTCAATAATTGAGATTAATTATTAATCTCTTAAGCCTGTAAGAGGGAAATATACCTGACACTTATCCGAACAATGGAACAGCCTGTCCTGCAGCATGAACGCAGCTCCATGAGAGATGAGAGCATCCCTCTCCATCTCTCCCAGCCTCACTCCACCTCCACGCCGCCTTCCCTTCACGGGCTGCCTTGTACGAGCATCCACTGCGCCGGTTGTACGGACCTTGAGAGATGAAATTTATTGACATACTTAAGAAATATAAATAAAAGATCAGTTGACAGTATGACTTTCCTAGTACTATTTTATATTCGATATCTGGAGTGCTTCTTCGTAGGCTCTAACCCCATACTTTTTCTCTTCCTATTAATTTTAGTGTTATTTCTATCTTATTCTGACACAATTACACACAATCATGCTTAAATATAAGACTATAGATAATAGACCCAAATTGTTTTTCAATTAACTGATGTTTGTATAACATTTAAACCGGTTCAGTAGTAACAAACAAATTCACCTTTGCGTTTAAATTATACATATGATAAGCTGAGCAAATATAATTGCATTTTTTTTCATTTATCATATACGAATATATCTTCTTAATATAAACAGCCCATCTAGAAACTCTAGATAAAATTTAAAAAAATCAAACTATCAATGTACAACTGAAAAGCTGGTGAAATAGGCAGACCATTCTATTCGAAGTTATAAACATTCAAAGAAGAATAATATACACCACATAAATTCTGGAACGATATTCGCTTACCTGCCACTTGTCAGACACCATATGCCGCAGCCGCTGGTAGTAGACCAGCCCAAAGAAAATATCCGCTACCATCTCCCGTCCATCGACACCACTGTATACCCTCTCTGTTCCATAATAGTTATAACCCCCAGCTTCTAAAAGCCTTCCAAAGTAATTGATTGCTGTATCCTTTTCGTTAAAACGGAATGGAGTTGCGTCGTGTACCTTAAATTGTATATAATTTATAAAAGAAATATATGCTGGTCCATTAAATCAATTTTGCCTGTGATTAAATTGATCTTGTCATGGAGTCCAAGAGTTTCATGAATCAGGCTATAAAAAGTTTTTTTTAATAGAAGCGGGAGCACACGGACACTCTAAATGTCAGAGGGCTCGCGAATGCGTTGCCGACCTTTTATATGACAAACTATAAGTCCTGACGTGTTGTTTAGAGACGTATCATACAGGCAAATAAAACGTACATATTAAAATCTATGAAAAAATTTATCAACCAACCAACTTACCAAAAATAAACATAAAATAGGTTAGAATATAAAAAAATGCTAGAAGAAAATGAAAGAAACAGACATTAATATTTTATGTCGATTTCTCTCATAGGTAAATGAGAAAATAGTAACACTTTGACTGAAATATCCCTACTTACATGTCCATGTAAACAAGCCGCTTTGCCCGCCATACACTCGATCATCATAGCTATTGTCATTCTTGAAGGAAACCCGTGAGGGTTGAACAGGATATCCGGGATTAATCCGGATTCCGTAAAAGGCAGGTCTTCTGCCGGCCATTTTTGCGAGCAGATACCTTTTTGACCCGCTCGAGACGCGAATTTGTCACCTACTGTTGGGTTACGCTGTAGAGATAGAAAAGTACAATCAATAAAATATAATAAATCGCGTTTTCAGTTCATTAGATTCTTTTGCTGTCTCTTCTTTGCTTTCTCTTAGCAAAAGAAACCTTTCTAAATGAATTTCGTCACAAGATTCTTAGATAATGATATAATAATATGTTATGGTTATTTCATTTAATTCTAAAAATCTCATGATTATTAAGTAAAGTATTAATTAGTTACTTTCCAATTAATTATCTGTAAGTAAAAAATTTGAAGTACATAATGACTGGGTCTAAATAGCGCTACTTGAAATTCGTCATATTTATAATTAACACAATTTTACTAGTTATTCTAACTAATAATAAGCCACTTTCATTGAAGAAAATGAGAAGACACTTAGTGTGAGATTCAGAAACAACTATAACTTCCATATGTCAAAATTCAATATTTTTTTGACGTACAGGATGACACAGTACTAAAGTCTTGTTTCTGAATTAGAGCATAAAAATACTCGTTTATCTAATATATAAAATTCTCGTGTCACAATGTTCCCATACTCCTCCGAAACGGCTTGACCAATTCTTATGAAATTTTTTATGCATATCTTTCAAACCCCTTAGTGATTAGGGGGGTCTACTCCAGAATTTTTATTATTTTTTATTATGTGGCATTAAAAATACATACAACCCTAAATTTTCACCCCTCTAAGATCAACTCCTATTTTTTAGTATAGTAGATTGTTATTTTTATTGAACTAAAAAAAAATTCCTAGAAAAAATTTACATGGCAAAGCGATTGCCGGGTCAGCTAGTAGTGTATATGAATTTCGAACCTGTATCCTCAACATGACAACAGCCTTCTTACAAGCGCGAGGCGAGAAGTCCCCACAAAGCCTTACGCTGTCCACAAAGACCTCCTCTTTGCCGTGGTATTTGCTTACTATGTACTGACTTCTGTCACCGTCGAAAAAACTACAAAAAAAAAGAGATGACTTGAACAAGATTTACACGGAAGTAATTTTCTCCTTGAATCGTACCAAAACCAAACCAAAAACGGAGATTATTTCCCTTTATTTATTTACTGTACCTTGCTATTTCATCCACACTATTTTCACTATAATCAGTCGTAGCGTGATTTTAGCCTTTCTCGTCATATGAACTATTCATTTTCT